AGAGGCCATTCCGCCCATCGAGTCTGTGCGGCTCTTTGAATAGAGCAATTAATGTCAATCCCACTCCCCAGCTCTTTCCCCATAACCCTTCAAACCCGTCCTCTTCAAAGACCCGTCCACCGCGTTTTTAAAAGTAGTTATCAAATCGGCCTCCACCGCCCTTTCAGGCGATGCGTTCCAGATTCGAACAACTCGCTGCGTGAAAAAATTTCTTCTCACCTCCCGTCTGCTTCTTTTAGAGACTATTTTAAATCTGTGACCTCGAGTCACCGACACATCCACCAGTAGAAACAGTTTTTCCCTTTCTAACCTATCAAATCCCCTCATGATTTTGAAGACCTCCTCGTAACCTTCTCTGCTCCATTGAGAATAATCCCGGCCTCTCTCGCCTTTCCTCATCATCAAGGTCCCTCAATCCTGGTACCATCCTCGTAAATCTCCTCTGCACCCTTTCCAATGCCTTAACATCCTTCCTATTTGATTAAAAAAACACCACCGGGTTTCACAAGTTGCAAAGAAGTTATTCGCTGACTGGAAAATACGCGAGCGGCCTTCCTTCCAGCTGATCGCACTGAGCTCCAAAGTGGTCGGGAATCGGGCGCGAGATTGCTGTTTTCCCTCTGCGTGTGAGCGAGAATGTTCTCCTCGCTTACCTGTCGTTCCTGGAGTTAACTTGGACTGAACAGCAGCCAGGCTTTCTAAAAGGGCCCCAGGTGGGATACAAGATTCAACACATGTGCTGACAGAATACTGGTTCTACCAGTCGATAGTAATAGGATGGTGCCTGACGAACAATTACTGTAAATAATGTATTCCACTCCCAGCTTTTTTTCTGCTGGGAAATTTGAGCTCTGGTGAGCCTCATTTTCTCCAGGGGATGGTGCCTGGAACACAGAGGTTCTCAGTGACGTTGTAAGCACATGGTTCTGAATACTCGGAACAGGAATGTGCGTACAAATAAATGATTGAAAAATAATTTTGTCAACTTTGGGAAGTGACTATTCAGCCAAAAAATTAATCTTTTTTTTCTCCATTTGATATACAGTAGTTATTCTTGCACCAGGTCCACTGAGAATCTTGTTACGCCACTCCTTTGGGTTTCTCATCTGAAGATCAGCACCTGATTGTTAGTCGATTGGCAAATCGCTTTTTCTGGTGGGGGGTAATAATTCTTTCAAAGCAAATAATAATAATAATAAATTGGTCACTCAATTTACACTGCTGTGTAGCGCAATTGTCTGCCACGTTTTGCCCACAAAATATACAGTCAATTCACTCTACAGTATGTTCTCTGAAGCGCTTTAAGACATCTCAAAGACGTGATGAGGCGCTATATCAAATGCAAGGATGATTATTATTCAACATTGTAGAACATTGTTTTAGAGTGTCAGAATAGGAGTTCAAAGTTCCAATGTTTGAACTTCTATGCTTGTGGCTTGAATCCACAATCTTCTGATTCAGAGACGAGAGCAGTAAACAAGCTTAAATCTTAAAAGTTAACTTTCAGCCAACGTGATCCAAGGTGTGGCCGACTGAACATCAACTGCTTTGGCTGTTTGCCCCTTAAGCAGATGCTCAACAAATTATAAGTAGCTGAATATTAAAAAAAGTATGAACAGAATATTCAATGGTTATTATTCAAATTTCATCAGATTTAATTTCCCCCATCAGTAAGACTTCTATAATTGACCTTAAGAAAATAAATAAATTACATTTTCAAGTGCTCCGAGACACTATCCTCACGAAGGGCACCGTGTAAACGCAAGTTGCTGTTGCTACTGTTGTTTTGTCGCAGGTTTCATGTCAGCAGTAAGTTTCAAAGCACTTCAAAGACTGAATAACAGCAGTTCTGAGAGCAAGAGTGGTAGGATTGAAGAGGTAGGTCTTAACGGGTGAGTTTTGAAGGCAGGAAGGGAGTGCGGAGGGACACTGAGATGAAGTTCCAGAGACTAAGGGGCAGAATGGCTGAAAGGTCACAAGACCAACATTTAATGAGACCGCCATGCGTCAGTGTATTTTGTCTTCCTGGCTCTCCACAAACCTCCTGAGCGGAGGACTGTATGTGCATAAGTAAGAATAGCACCACCGTGTGGACATTGATAATACTAATAGTAATAATAATAATAATAATAATAATAATAATAATCCTTGCATTTGATATAGCGCCTTATCACGTCTTCGAGACGTCTCAAAGCGCTTCACGGAATATATACTGTAAAGTGAATTGATGAATGGAGGAGAATGGAGGAGAAAAATGTAGGGCTCTTCAGCCTTGAAAGATATCTGGAAAGCAGATTTACAGCATAATAATAATATATAATAATAATAATCCTTGCATTTGTTATAGCACCTTATCCCATCATCTGAGATGTCTCAAAGCATTTCACAGGGTTTGACTGTGGCTGTTATTTGTAGGCAATAAGATGCCAAATGGGATACAGACAGCAAATTCAGACCAATACTTTCAGATCCATCAAGACAACAAGATAAGAAGTCACATGTTCAGGATTGCTTTTGAAGGGCAATTTTAGTGTAGACACTGGAAATGTATCTTCCACACAAAAAGTAATTTAAGAAATTGCTTGATGCTGTAATGGAAAGACAGTTAGGGCTGGTATTGTGAAAAGATGAGACATGAGATCAAATGGGCTGAAAGACCTTCTTCATCCAAACCACTCTTGTGATCTTGTCAACACATAAAGACAAATGAAATCAAAGAGTATTTTCAGAACACCCTTTGAAACATTTATCTGGATGAACGCTTGTCGTTTGAAGCTTCTTTACTCCTTACTGTGGCGATCCCACCTTTGCTCTTTGAGGACTTTGGCAGTAGTTTTGAACCGTTAAAAAACAATCGATGCTTAAGGAGATATTTTCCTGCAGAACGACGCACTCATGTTTCCTTTGGCATTTCTGAATCGAGGTCATATACGTGAGATACAGAGCTAATTCTCCCTTTGACGTTAAATGCTGAAATTTAATGCTGTACGATTCCTTCAGGTTTTCCATAGTAAACGACCTGCCCATATTCATCGTCTTGCCAGTTAGAAGCACAGGAACGGCTGAAGACAAATTGTAGCAGAAAATCTTTATTAATCAAATTTTGACTGGGTAATCGACTTTGATGGCTGCGCGTCGAGATGGTTCATGAGCAAATGTGGCATAACTCAAAATTAACACGGTTTACAAGGTGCCAGACTGGCTCAGTAGGTGGCACTCTCACCTATTTGTCAGAGGGTTGTTGGTTTGTTGGGAATTGAGCTCAAAGCCCAGGCTGACACTCCAGTACAGTCCGGGGAAATTACTACACCCTCAGAGGTCCTGCCCTGTCAGTGGTGTTGTCCTTTTTGGATTAGGTATTAAACTGAGGCTGCTGAGGTTCCTGTTAAAGATACCGTGACATTATTTAAAAAGAGATGTGAGCTTTTCCTGGTATTATAGCTGACATCCCCTTCCCAAAGAACTGACCAGTGACCTCACGGACGTTCATGGGATAAATAATCTGCTGCATTTGCCTGCAAAAATATTTGAAAGTAATTGATTGTGAAGGACTTTGAGACAATACGGTGGTATAAAAATACAGTTCCTTTCTTCTGGACCAAAACTATCTGATTTAAGTAGTGAAGAAACAGTGGTTTGTCCAATGAATCAGTGAGTACACATCGATAGTAATTGCTACACACAACCATCTACCAGAAAGAGTCTTGAAGTGAATGACCAATTTTCTCTGTCTTTAGTCCAGGCCAGCGGGAGAAAGTTCCTTTTACTTCCAACAGTATCAGACAGTCATCTTACCATAATAATAATAATAATAATCCTTGCATTTGTTATAGTGCTTTTCATGTCGGGAGGACGTCCCAAAGCGCTTCACAGAACACACTGTAAAGTGAATTGACTGTATATTTGTGGGCGAACGCGGCAGCCAATTGTGCACAGCAGCGTCCCACAAACAGTCATGGATTGAAGTGACCAATTTATTATTATTTTTTACTTGAGTGATTATTATCAGGCGTGTGTGTAAAGTAAGGAAACTTGCCTGTCGGAAATCTCACTTACGAGGCGAGTGCTCTAACCACTGAGCTACAGGACTCCAAAGGATGTTTGACATCTAACTAAAGGATGATACCTCCAGCAATGCAGCACACACCCAATGCTGGATTGGAGTGTGAGTCTCGATTTAAAATCTATTTGTGTGTTTGCATACAAATACAGTGGCTACACTTGACAACAATTATATTGAAGAGTTTTGAAACATCTGGAGTGTGATAGACGCTTTAAAAAATTGCAAGAACTATTACCAATATGAATATTTACTTCTAATAGTTATCATTTCAATTGCTTAGCTAATGCGAGGTATTAAACAATTTCCGCATCAGTTCACACAACACCGAAACTTCATAGCCTGAGAAAATCGAAATGCTTTAACTTTAATACTGCACCGATGCAGTATTGTGGAGTCCTGCAGTGTAGTGGTTTAGAGCACTCGCCTCGCAAACAAGAGGACCTGGGTTCGATTCCCGGGCAGGGAGAAACCTTAGACAAGTTTCCTTACTCCGCTCGTCTCTGTTTACCGAGTAGTTAGTAGGAACCCCAGTTGTCCGTCGATTGACGGATCGCTTTTTGGGGCTAACGATTACTTTCGAAAAAATAATTCGGTCCCTGAATCCTTGGCTGGCGCGTTTCGCAAACAAAACACACGATCAATTCACTTCAATTCAATTCAATTTGTTCCGCGAAGCCACGCAAAGCGTCTCAACGAAGCGATAAGACGCGACATCAAAGGCGAGGACGATTATCATTATTGTTATTGTTATTCCTATAGCCAAATGCGAGGATTGTGATTGTATTATTATCCACAGCCACTGTATAATGTGAGATACAGAGGCAAAGGGTTGACAAGAGTCCTCGCCCAATCATGGCTTGGATTTAAGGATAGGCACATGAAGTTGCCAATAAGTGAGAGGCAGAGGTTGGCTGTGGGCTGGGATGTGCAGGGGGTGTGGGCTGGGATGTGCTGGGCTGAACGTTAGAGAAGCAAAAAAAAAGAGGTCCAGCAGAGGAGGAGGAGGAGGAGAGAGAGAGAGAGAGAGGACGTGGGAGCATCTGCTCTGGATTTGGAGTGGATTGGGGGGAGACATGGGTTTTGCAGTGGCTTCCCCTAGACTTTCACCATGACAATCCACAGCACTGGAGCTCACACTGCCACAATGCAGATGGCATGTCTGGCCAAGGTAAAAGCTCTTTCTAACAGCTTTGGTTTAGCTCCAAGACACCAGCAGTGGAGAGAAAGGACAGTTTTTAACCAAAGGATTTCTACAACCCAGCAGTTTGTCTCTGTCTCTCTCTCTCTCTCTTTCTCTCTCTCTTCTCCAGATGCCAATCATTCTCAAAAGTGTTTTTTTTATTTCAGCTCATTGTGTGATTTGATTTTTTTTTCAATTTATTTTGATGGATTTTTTTTTGGGTGGGGTGGGGGGGGTATAAGAAATACCAGAATCCTGCAAAGGTTTGGAGAAGGCAGTTGAACTCAAGCGCCACTTGAGGAATTTGGTGGAGATAAGATGTGTTGCAATTAGAATTTAAGAACTGGGTGAAACTTTCCTTAGTAAAACTTGGCGGAAGATTTATTGCTCTGTGACTGCCGAGGATGAACTGAGTACTGTAAATAGCACTGATGGTTACAGTTGTATATAAATAATAATAATAATAATAATAATAACTTGCACTTCTAAGGCACCTTTCAGAAATGAAATAAAACCATTAGAAAATAAATTGTAGCAGCCTTGGTTAAAATCTCCCCCTTCCCAATTATGTTATTTGCATCATTTTTTGTTCTGTTGCTTTTTTACTGTTGATTTGCAGATGGAGAAAGTTATTGTAGCCATGCAAGATCCTGATGCGGGCATTAAAATGAAAAATCAACGACTCCTAATTACTGTTATTCCCCATGCAATGACGGGTAAGAATACTACATTGATTGCGGTTTTGTATCCCATGTCCTTGCTCCTGTTCCATATCGCTTCTCTTAAAAGCTTTTCTGTTTGCTGCTGGAGGAAAAGTGAATGCTTTTGTACACGTCTGCTTTGGCACGTGTCCAAAAACAGTAAACCTTGGGGTAGTTTTCAGAGTTTTAAAAATATTAATATTATTAATAGTAATAAATAATAATCATTCTTGCATTTGATATCGTCAAAACATCTCAAAGCGTTTCACAGGATTTTACTGGGTATTTATGGGCTAGGTGGAAAGAATGCGAGTAATTTCACTAGGTTCATGTCCACATAAAATTTTTGTTTGAAAATATTTTTCGTTATTTTTCATAAATAATTGTAAATCCAAAATTACGACCACAGGGCTGTTTGCACCTGTTTGGGGGGTGGTTAAACAATTGCTGTCATGGTTTACACAAGCAAGTCAAAATATTTTAGTTTTGTCATTTATTGTGTGTATTGATGTCAGGGCCAAACCAACGGGAGCCAATATACAAAAGAATGTATTCTTTGGTTGAAAAAACAATTTACTTTAGGGGGATTCTGCATGTATTGGCTTTCACGACCTTGCAGAAGTGATTTTGCAAAGATGCTTTCATGATACTGTGACTGAAAATATTCCAGTAAATGTATGGAGTGTCTTTTTATTGACTTCTTGAGGTTCATCTCTTTGGGTATATATAATTGTCCTCTGCAAGTTTATTTTTAACAGCATATTACCTCAATAGAACATTTATTTCTACACTTTTACTGGCCCGCTTAATGGACCCTTTTGACCAATTCTGATTAATAAGACCCTGTACTTCGAATTGATTTTATTCTGATTTGCATTTTTTTTCCAGGCAACGACATTGTTGAATGGCTTACGCAAAAGTTTTCCATCTCCGAAGAAGGTAGGCGAAGACACTTTTATAAATTAGGTTCACAGCGTTTCTTTTGAAAAGGTAGAGAACATTATTTCTTATATGTTTAATGCAAACTGCCTAGACTGTATTAACATTTGTGTTTTCACTAGGTCTATAATGACAATCTTTATATTTGGTACAGCGCCTTTCACGTCAGGAGGATGCCCAAAAGAGTTTCACTCGGTATATTGTAAAATGCGGTGACTGTGTTTTGTGGACGAACAAAAAATCTAGTTGAAAAGCATTGTATATTGTTAGAGGCAAAGTGGTACTATCAATAGAATTAGACAAATGGCACATTCTGTACACATTCTGTACCTGCAGTTCTCCACCCAGTGATGTTCTGATCTAATGTCTAATCACCTGCACTGCCCTTGAGTATTTGTTAACGGTCTAGTAACACACTAGTAATGGCACAAGCTTGGGAATAACCCATCATTATTCTCTGTCTGTCAGGGAATAGTATACAATGGGAGGAATCCTTGTTTTTTTTGTTTAACAATACAGTCCTTAAATGGGATGAAACCAATACGCAGAAGTTAATTTTCTATTAAAATTTTGACAGTTTAAAAGTTATAGGACTTGCAAATAAGTTGTTTTCGTTCCATCCATGCTCTTCTTAAAGGACGGACTTCACGTTTTACTCATAAGTTATTTAGTTATGTGGAAATAGAAACTATTTCATTTGTTGTTACATTCGGAAGAGTTCAGAAAGAATGAACATTTGTTGTTCATTAAGTGCCCAAACACTTTGAAATGTTTCAAAGCACTTCACTGGTAATTACTGTCAGAGGTAACTGGGATTAATAACAACAACAACAACTTGCATTTATGTAACGTCCTTCCATGGGGCACCGTCCCGGAGCGCTTAAATACCTTCAGAGGTCACAGAAGGTAATACAACGACTAAGTGTACCAGCTTTCTACACTAGCAAAGCTCAACAGACAGCCACGAGCTGGATGACCAAATGATCTGGAGACAATCTCCAGGCAAATCTCCTCCACATATTGATACAGATCAGGTTCCTGTATATTTGCTGACCTGTTTGCAGGTTTGTACTTTAAATTGTACACTTGACCTAAAAGGTCTTGACAAAGTCCGGTATTCTAACATTTTAACAGGACCATTGACAGTGACAATCGCAGGACTACTTTGACCTTGTACCAATTTGGGATTTGAAGTGCCTTTTATCCAAGGAAATAGCTTTTGGCGTTTGAAAGCCTGCATGTGTGTTGTCAATCTAAGTATTGATCTGTTTCTCTATTTAAGTAATTACTCTAATACATCAAGCTGACAGTGTTTGAATAATTTATGGAATCACCCCAGTGGGTTAGTCCTTCAGGTAAATAGGAAACAAAATGCCATTGTGCTAAACCATGTTTATTTTAAGAGTATTCAACTAGTTTCGGTTTTGAATTGGCCCGAGGAAATGGGGTTTCTCAGTATATTTAGTGTTATTTGTAATGTGGTCATACTGTAATCTGTTTTATAGTCAGAACTATAATGAGAATTGCACCTGAGCGGATGCTCACAGAGCTTTGATCATAGGTACTTTACAGAATTCACTTCCACGGGGATCTGGGATGAAACAGGAATGGCTTCAATTCCACTCACTCCTGGAGGCAGTATGGATTTTGAAGCAAATGTCACTAATCATTAATTTATTGGATGTTTTTTTTTACTTAACCAAAGTTGCACACGCTTTCTTGAGGTGAGGGGTAATGCAAATCAAACTGCGAGATATTCACAGGTTTGCACAACGACAGTCTTGCATATTTCATTATACATTACTTGGCTTGGCTTGGTGTGTCGTAAAACAAACTCTAGTTTTGTTTCACACCCACTACATCACTACAGCTGGCACAGCCAGTGACTAATGCTCAGTTGCAGTAAGATGTCAAAAGTCTTGCACTGAACTTTTTCTTTTTGGCTTGGATACCGTGTTGACGAATACTGACAACAACTTTGCTCTGTTAAGCGGATTTGTTTACTGTAAACTGCCCTCGCTCCTCCGACAAAAAAGGTGAAAGGAATATTAAAGTGGCCTAGAACGCACGTCATTAGCAGTATTTTAACTAATCACTTAAACAATTACCTGCTTCCGAGTAATAATTCGGGGAGCCCTTTTGGCAACTGTTGTAAATAATTTCCTCTGCGTCTAGGAAAGAAAGGAGGAGATGAGTCATGTCTCATTCATTTCTTCATACACCCTCTGAACTTTGTGCAAAAGATGTTTTGGAGAAAACGCTGTTCCCCTGAGTTCCAATAATGAGCGCAAAGCATTAGTTTAATTAGTAGCGTGCATGCGGAAATACTTGTCTGTTAGTATCAGTTAAGAAACCTCAGTGACTTAAGACAGAAAGGCTAATAATAATAGTACTAATAATCCTTGCATTTGATATCGGACATTACCACATCTTCGAGACATCTCAAAGCGCTCCACAGAATATACTGCTAAGTGTAATGACTGTATATTTTGTGGGCGAAATGATTGATTTGAAGCTCAAGTGCTTTTTATAGCTCATGTTCGTTAGATGTTTCATTTCCTATTTTGGTGTGATATTCTGGAACTATTCCTGCCAAAGTAAGCAGGATGCATCATGATAATAATAATAACAAAAATTCTTGCTTGGATATAGCGCCGCATTACATCATTCAAAGCTCTTCACGGTACTGTAAATTGCAATGACTGTGTATTCATAGGAAAACACAGCAGCCAGTCAAACCAGATTTTGAAACAGCTCCAAAATATAGGGAGTTAAAGCATTTCTATTGTGTTGAAATATTCTGCAGATGAGATATCAGGTATGTTCTACATTCATACCCCCAAAGCAAGTGGAAGTTATTGAATCACAATTGTTTGGTTTCTCATCATTCATGATTCTGAACATGTGTTTTGAAGTTTCGTGAAAACGTTACACCAGCTCAAGGAGAAAGTCTTCAGAAAGTACCACTCTTGTTGAACCCCGGGAGTTCATTAACATATCTCTATACTGTGTTCTAATGTAGAGTTTTTCGTATATTTTACAGCTATTTTTCAGCATTGAAGGGGTATCAGATACGAGTCATTCGATCCACGCCAGTTTGTGGGACACCGCTGTCCCAAAAACTGGCGTGGATTGAATGAGTAAGTTTATTGGGGTCATTTCCCACATTCTAACTATCTAACGGAATATTCTCTTTCTGCAGAGTCCCTTCACCTTGGTAATCTCATAGCAAAATATGGCTATATTTATCCCCTGAAGGACCCAAAGAATCTCATACTCCGGGGGGATGAGTCTCCTTATCGATTTCAGGTAAAGCTTCGTGAAGCGCCAGAAGATATTACTTAAAGGGACACTTTTTGTGCTGTGATTTTCTCCCATTATATGATGGGCCTACAGTAATATATAACGGGGGAAAAAAAATCCACCTTTACCCTGCCATAATATGAGCGAACGAGCATAAGCAATCTTAATCCACACAAGGAAAGGTATTAAGCGCTCTGTCAAATATTGAAAAGTTAAGTTCTTTTCGGCTACCACAACAATATTGTTGGCAGAGGGTCAATTAAAGAGCGACCAGCTATGGGAATGCCTTTCCCTGGTGTAGCTCAAGGGCACAGACCATTCTAACTGTGGGAGCCCTTCTTGAATGAGATTAGATTAAGTCTATGCATTTGATACAGCGCCTTATAACATCATTGAGAGGTCTTAAAGTGCTTCACAGGATATACTGGAAAGTGAATTGACTGTGTATTTTGTGGGCGAAACTAGCTCACTCCACATAAACCAGGGATCGAATTGGGAACTTCTGAGACTGTACAGTTCAACATAATAAGTAATAGTCCTTTGATCTAGCATCTTAATTATGCCATTGAGAAGACATCTCAAAGCAATTCACGGGCTCTTACTGCGAAGTGTATGACTGTGTGAAAGCGGCAGTCAATTTATGCACAGCAGTTGTCCTACAAACAGCCAAGCAGTGAGTGACCAATTTTATTTGGGGGAATTGCTTTCACCATTTAGTCATAGGTGTATTGAGGAGATCAATCATCCGAGTTGATTTTGTAAAAGTGCCAGTGTTAATCTTGGTTGCAGGAAAAATCTAGTTCTCTAAGGAATAGCAAACGCCGTTGACGACAGTAAAATTAGCAGCGAAGCCTGGGAACTGTGTTGTATGTGGTGGTGACCTCCCCAAGGGTGACTGCATTCCAAAACAAAGTAATTGAATTAAATCACATTGCGTTTCATTGATTGAAGAACATGTTCTATCGCAACCCAAAACCTAATGGGACCAATGATTTTTAGTGCAGTAGGGTAACCTTAGCGTTCTGCTCAATCGTACTCTCCATCAAGACTCTTTCTGGGTCAACTTAGAGGCGAGTGTGTGTACGAATTAAAGAAAATCCTAAACGAATGGATAATTTGAAAAATAAAGGTGTAGTGTAGCTCAACAGATCCTCCTGCGAAGCAACCTATCAGATCCAAATGATGATTTAAATATTGCGTCTCCCAAGTTTTGACTACTTAGGGTCTCCTCTACCGATATTGTGATATTGTGTCCTTAGTGCACAGTATAATCCTTGCGTTTGATATAGCGCCTTATCACGTCTTCGAGACTTCTCAAAGCGCTTCACAGAATATACTGTAAAATTAATTGACTGTATATTTTGTGGGCAAAACGCGGCCGCCAATTGCACACAGCAGCGTCCCACAAACAGCCGTGGATTGAGTGACCAATTTATTTATTTTTTTAGGGAATTCTGAACAATGCTCAGTTCAGTTCCACGTTAGCTACTGGCTTGTTCAAGCAGCATGAAGGACATGCACAGATACTGTAGGTGCTTCAGCCGATGGTTGATTCAACATTACTCATTTGTGACTATTGATACGGGCATTACAAGGAAAGATTTGTACTTGGAAAGAAACACAGATGACTAAGCATCACCACCTTCGGGAGGAAACATCTAGCTATTTAAAACTGAAGAAAGCTCATAACCTTAATGAATAACATCTGCCTAATGTTCAACACTCTCCAAGATCCCTAATTAATGTTTCTTATTGTGCAACTCCACGTTCTCAAAACTATGTAAAATGTAGTAAAACAAATTAAAATAACCCTCGCATTTGATTTAGCGCCTTTCATGTTGGGCGGACGATTCAAAGCGCTTCACAAGATACACTGAAAGTGCAGTGACTGTGTAATTTTGTAGTCGAATGCAGCAGCGCATTTGCACACAGCAGTGTCCCACTGACTGGCATGGATTGACTGACCAATTTTATTTGGGTGATTGTTGACCTAATAGTAGAAATATTTAACATGAATTAGTATTTTAAATAAGCATTGTAAAAATAAACATATTAAATTATCTTGGAAATGTTTACTGTTAATCATTTGTTTTTCTCCGTCTCTACTAGACTCCTTACTTCTGGACTTCAAGTAAATGTCCTGCCACCGATCTGGATTATGGTAAAAGTGGATTTATTATTACATTTAATGAACAATAGCTTGTAAAGAAAATTCTAAGATGTCTTATTTTCAAAGAAACTTTTCTTCATTTACATTAGAATCATAAAAACAGCCTTGCGTGGATTTAAATAAGATAATAATAATAATCCTTGTATTTGATTTAGCGCCTTATCGTGTCTTCAGGATGTCTCAAAACGCTTCACAGAATATACTGTAAAATGAATCGACTGTATGTTTAGTGTATTAAGTAGGAAAAGAATATTTTTCAGGTAATTATGTTAACCTGGGGTATACAATAGAACCCCATTATACGGCCCCCCCACCCACCCCCACTCACTGATAATGCTGTTTGCTTAGAAGATGGGTGCCCTGTGGAGCCCATACTTGACTCATGATCCACAGGACACCAGTCATGCGGTCATTGACATATTGATGCAGAAGCATTGACTCGCGAGCCTGCCCTGTTATAAGGCTGGTTGGAATTTCAGGGTCCCTCAAACGCAGCCTTATAACAGGGTTCTACTGTAGTTGCTTTACGTGGAGTTCTCCAGCAATAAAACCTTCGAGCTCTGCCGCACTTAATGCTGTAGTTATATTTTCTCCTCTTAGAGAATAGACCCGAGGCAGATATTCTGATCGACAGTGGCTCACCCTTCACTAACTTTTCGAAATGTACATCAGCGAGAGGATGATGTATGTGTAACCTGCAAATGTGCTGCATGCTTGCATTTCAAATCTTTCCAAATCTTTTAAATGTTTAGCCATTTATTTGACAAAGAAGAACATACGGAAACAGGGAGAGCTGGTTGGCTATGAAAAGGTAAGATCATTCTCCACTCAACACAAATCATTTGCTTTGTGGCTTGTTACAAAACACACCCATCTCACTGCTGTTGCTATGTTACATACTTTGACCAGTTTCTTGACAAATTTGAATCAAGCATGAAATAAGTAGCCTAGCTCTCGTAAAAGGTTAATACACAATTTCAGGCAATTTATTCGGAAAAGAACACAAATAACTTGCGTTTTAAAACGACACATTAAGTATAAGGTCATTGAAAATATTATCTGTAACTAATCTGTACATTTATACTACAATAATTGAAATTGGGAATTTTGCTGTCACTGTTCCCTTTGTGATATGACAGGAAATCAGGTCACTAATATCATAATGTACTTCCACCCTCCCATCTTTCCTGTTTTTAGCGGTATGGGTTTTTGAAGAGCTCTTTAGGTATCGACCAGTCAGGCACATATATAAACTGAATAGGAGTCTTTTTCAGCCTGCAGGAGAAGGAAGTGGTTGCCTTAAAACCTCACCAGACATCATCTCTGCCTCTGTTTATTCTGTAATAATTTGATCACCACTTGAGTCGTGTTACACCTCAAAGTCCTAAGGCAATTATTTTGTGTGTGACCCTTTATCAAGCAGCCGATCCATTGTTTGCTTTCACAAATTGCTCATTTATCCATTGCTCAGTTATAGCAGTAATGAGGGTTTGGACGTACGTTTCGAGTTCATTTGTGTGATATGAATTTTACCCTTTTCTTTACATAAAGACAGATCCACCTTTTCAAAATAATTCTGCAAAGTATAATTTGCCAATTCGCATTTCTATAGAAATTAACTTCATCACTCTGCTATCACTCTGCCCCCACCCTCTGGAACTCCATCCCGAAGTCCCTCCGCCTCGCCCCCTCCCTTGCCTTCTTCAAGACCCATCTCAAGACCCTCCTCTTCGACCGTGCTTTCAATCACCCCCTTTACCCACCCCCTGCCCTCTACCCTCCCCGATCCCGACTCTCAGCTCAGGTCCGAAACACTGAGTGGACAGGGCCTTGGGACATCCTCCCAACTTGAAAGGCGCTGTACAAACATAATTTTGTTGTTGTTGTAGTATCATCTTTTTAAACACGAGCTTCATTCCCTTCTCTGAAGCCCAGGGGCAGACTATCTGCCACCTGTTTGCCCTCTTGGGCAAGGAGCATTGGACTAAGATCCGGTGTTAGGATTTTGGGCAGTCGTGGGTCCAGTCTTATCTCGGATTGCCAACACTACAGAGATATTAGTCACTACAATTTACATTTTCACTTTTGTGTAATATTGCCGAGCTATTGTGTGACTAAAAGTCCAGAAATACCCATATCTAGACAATCACGACACTCACGTTTAAAATTTATGTAACCAAAACTTGCAGATTGCTGATGTTTGCCCTTTAATAAACGAAAAGATGGCCACTGACGTATTATAATTGTTATTTCAATAGGGAAACGGCATTAACAGGTAAACAATAGGTTGTTCCATCTTCAGGCGTCTGTTTTAACACCTCTAGAGACCACTCATCCCTTTTTACCTGCTCTCTGCCCTCTGGCAACAAGCTGCAAACCTATCCTAAGCTCTCCAGAGAAAGACGTGCTCACAATGTTGAGCAACCTCTGTTTTGCTTTCTAGTTGTGCGCTGTAATTGCACACAGTCACAGAGGAGCACGCTGTTAACAATAACGGCGCTATTTCGAATTTGTTTTTTTGAAAGCATTTCACACAGACAGCAGTTCACGTAGTGCATCCATCATATTTGGTATTTTTCAAACTCCGATCTTTACGTTTTCATTATTTTTTAAAATTCAGATCCTGCTAAAAAAAATTGCTTGAATTCCTGCAGGATAGTTATAATTTGCTCCACAAAAGGATCAATCATACCTGGGATTTTGTGGTGATGCAAGCGAGAGAGCAGCTCAGGTTAGTCGAACATTCATGTAATGCTTTTATTCTTATTCTTCTGGCATGTTGGAATATGTTGTCTGGGCATACTGGCTTATTAGTTTGACTACTTTCAGTAATTGGCAAGAAAGAGGCTTGTGTTTTATCAAGAAGGGAAAAAAAGGAGTATATTAGATAATTTGATTATTGATTAGCCCTTGCTAAAATAGTTGGACACTTTTAAAGGGGCGCATTTGGTACACAATAGATTTGCAATGGATAATTAAGAAATAGAATGGACGGTGTTGTAAATAGACACCGAATACTAAAAACATGACCTGCAAAAATCTGAACATTGCAGGACCACAGCTTATTCCATCTAATTAGCTTTATTTGTATGATTTGTATAATAATTGATATCTGTTGCTGAATGAGAGGTTTGCAACAAAAATGGCAATTATCCAGCATGCACAAATTTCAATTATTTTGCCCAAAACAACACATCCTTATATTTTTCATATTGCGCAGGCTGTTTGGAATCCTTGAATATTATAATATAAAAGGAAAATGTGATTTTTTTTCCCCTGTCCTTTTAATAGCTTTTTTAAAAAGAAAATCAGCAAAACATATACAAGAGCAGGGGTAAGGTGGTGGGGTGGGGGCTGGAAGTAATGTGCAAAAAACAATTAAAGAGAGTGCATGGTTTGGATGCTGATATGCAACATGGTCACAGAACAGTGTGTCTGCCTTAGCTATCTACTGCAATATACATTCCCCTAATTATCCACTTCAAGTGCGGAGTCTATTTCTTTCAGGTCTGCCGAACAGTGTCTTCATTTCTCCGTTTAATGAACCTCTCGCTCTGTATCTCTGAGACCGGGGGAAGTGTCGGCTGTTCTGCACTACAAAGACCCATCACAGTCCTCTTAGCTGATGTGTAGAAATCTTGCTTCAGCAAGTTACAGGTAGCTGAGGTCAATGAGGCGAATGGAACCAGGGTGTTCACTGGTTAAGAGATGAGCGGAGCAGGAGCAGAGGTTGGGAAGGTGACTGAATTATCCTCCTCCCCAATTATATTTGATAATTGGGAACATAGATAATGAAGCCACAGATAATGAAGAATTCACTAATTACAAGGGACTGCAGTATGTCAGAGAAGTGCTTGAGGTCTACATACCTTGTTTTAAGCTTATTTTCTCATTTTTGTTAAGCGGGGGGTCATTTTGCAGTGGATACACCTTTGATGATATTTGGAATAAGAGTCCTATAAACAGCACTTAATAGGTTGAAAAATTAAACCATCGTCTTTGCTCTTCACTTCCAAAGTGAGATATTTTTTGCAGCTGCTGCAGCTGCTTTGAATCTCACATCAAGGACTTTGAATTATTAATCTGTTTTCTGCCTGAAACGAGAGAGCGCAGAAACACACTGCCTCTTAAAGCATAATGTATTCCATGCTACATGAGGGATAGATTGTGTTCTGCCTCGCCTTGTACCATCTTTGGTCACTGTGGTGACGTCTAAAGTGAAGAGAACTTCAAGCTGAAATCAGATGAAAGGAATATATGAAACAATCCAACCAGAATAGAACAGAATCTGCAGGAAATACCGAGACAGTGGGATGTCTTGGGAATGAGATGGTATCATTCCTGTATAGGTTATTAATGTACATTCAGTCCCAAGACACGTTACTGCCTTGGAATCCACATCAGGGGACTTTGTGTTTTTTTGTATTCAGTAACGTCCAGCTATTTCTTACCCTTTCTGTTGCTATTTTGTCAAGTTTTATCGGGAGGGGGATTTTTTCGGAGGCATGTCGGGTATTATGGCAAATTATGACAAATGGCAGTGCTATCTGGTACACAGGATGATTAGGAAACAAGAGACACCAGTGTCTAATTTACAGACCGATAATTACCACTAGTTTCTAGTTTCAAATGCAATGATTTGTTAGACACCGAGTGGATGTTTGGGGGGGAGGAAGGAGCTATCGGGTAATAGGTTGTCCTCTGATGCATCTCCTACAAACGGAAAGGGCAATTGGCAAAGGTGTGCAAGCAAGTATCTCGCTCTCTTGACAACAGTTGTTTAGCCCATGGGCCAGTGGAGACAATAGAGTGATTTCATTGACTGACCAAAGCCACAGTCACATTTTGTTTCAGATTTGATCTTTTAATTCCTTCATTGAGTTTGCATTTTATATCACAACAGGAACCCAGTTTGCCCGCTTTCTCGTTCGCTTCAGAGGCAAGTCTGGTCATCAAATTAATTGGATTTGCAAAGTTAAAATACAGCGAGGAATTTTTACCTAATCATGAAAGTAACCTAGTGGAAATTCCCACAGAGGTTAAACCATAACGGCAATGTACTATTAGTAGCAAAAAAGGATTAATACAGCAGACTGAAAACTAGGCTAAATATAGATTTGTGTCAGGAATTGTAAGGTTTTCCTTAGAGGTTGGATGTGTTAATTTGTAGAAAAAGTGATATTGAACTTATAATAATAATAGTAATCCTTACACTGGATGTAGCCCCTTATCACGTGGTCAAGATGCCTCAAAGCGCTTCTCTCAATGACCAGACTCACCAAATAACTCTTGTTAAATAGTCCTGTTTGTTATTATCATTGAATCATTCTGGCCCAGCATTCTGAGCTGTGTTCTCAGACTGTTAAACTATATTGGCTGCTTTGGAAGTGCGAAATGGCCATTAGTGCACATGCTCCATCATTGTCTACTATTTCTTCGTTGCCGCTTACACACAATATATAGTTTGTGGCACGACACATCATGCGACTGCCAGGATGGTGGAAGGCAAACTGGATGGTCGTTGGTTTTCATTCGACCCACAAATTCTCATGTTTTTAGAAAAAAACTACGTATTGCACTTTTGCATTTAGGAATAGCTGCCACTCAGGCGATTTTATTGATTTCATTAGAATTTTATTCAATTTGTTTTTTTCTCCCACTTTAAAATAAGAGGAATGTCAAATACTGTCTGATCATCAACTTCAAACGACACATTGATGATCATCGTTCCCTTAGTGAATATTACAGAAACAATGAATCCATTGACTCGGATATTTCCATGTCGCTAAACTAATTTTTTCTTCCCTAATTGAAATATAAATTAACAGGGCAGCTAAGCAGCGGAGGAAAGCAGACCGTATTGTACTGGATTGCCAGGAGCAGGCCTACTGGCTGGTGAACAGACCTCCGGTAAGCCATCTTACTTTGTAAAGTGCTTCGGAAAAAGTTTATTTTGGTCAGCCATGTATCAGATACCCGCAGAATTGTCTCCAAACCAGACTACTATGAGTTCCACGTGTGCATGGTGTCTGTTTGTCAGCAGTGGAGTGTGCACTCTCTCCATGGAGGAACGCACCTATGAGAGTTTAAAGTTTAATCCAGGAGTTTCATTAATGAGAGTTTAAAGGCAGTTTGTCCAGCTGGGATCTGTCATCCTTTCGGGCTTTGACCCACAGGGGATGACATTCAGCCTCCAGTGAATGACTGCTGATACATCATCAGTACTGAGGACCCGCCTGACTCAGGAACCAGGCTACTGAGACCACAAGAGAGAAATGGCACAATTCTGATATTATTACATGTCATCTTGGAGCCAACTCAGCCCCAAAAAGATTCTACTTATCTCTTCCTTCCTCACCCCCCCACTCCCCCACCTTTCCCAAGTGGAGAGCCCCTAAAACGATGCTACATAAGTACACGTTATGATCATTAGAATAATAATCCTATTCATGAGGTACTTGTAATAATCATATTGCAAGACCTCGTATAAAAAAAAGAGAAATAAGAACGCAGTAAAATGATGATCATAAGTGCTGCGCAAGGGAATTAACCTAATTCTGAGATCAGAGATTAATCAGAACAAAGAAGAATACACAGAAAATAAAAAACAAACAAGCTAGCTGTTTCAAATCAGAAAGTTTCAGACCAGGGCCAGCCAACCTGTGAGGAGAAGATCGCTCACCCTCTAAGAACATAAACCGTGTGTCTGTTTGAAAAATTCCAATTCTGAAATCTTGTAAGTTTTGGACATTATAAGAATTCCAGTTTTTTTAAAAAAAGGTTCAAATCACAATGAATCTCAGATTCTAGCAGAAGAGCCTTACATTTCAATTTCTGGTCGAGCGATACAAAAGACCACGAGTGTAAAGAAACCGACATAGCCAAGTCCCAATATGAGTATAATTTCTTTTATGGTTATTCATGTAAGAATTTAACAAAAGGTTCCTGATGGTTATGTCCTTGATGCAGTACTTCTTAGTTTCAGGCCAAAAAACATTAAAGCTGCTTTTATCCATGGCTAAATAAGTTATATTGCTCAGTGGGTAGTAATGGATAAAGAGCTATGAGATTAGTGGCCTGAATGGGTTTGCAGAAAAAATAGAGAAGTCCCTGGAGGTAACACAAAGTAAGCTGCTTTTCCACTAAAGCTTTTATTGATTCACAGCAAATATTAATGATATATCCAGATAAATGTGCAATGTAAGCTCTGTTTTAGATTAATCTGAAGTGCATTCGTCAAGAGATTGCAGCCGTAATATTTTGCAAAAGGAAACAAATGAGGAAAATAACATACTAATAATCCTTGCATTTGATACAGCGCTTTTCACGTCGGGAAGACGTCCCAAAGCGCTTCCAAAACATCCACGCTACCCTCTTGTGAATGTCTAAATAAAAAGTTTGTTGGTTTTGTTTTTACCAATATCACAGAATGGATACTAAATTTGGTCTAGTTACATATATAAAAATTTCTTTCTGCTGCATCATACGGTGAAAGCTTTCAGCAGCAAATCAAACGTATAATGAAATAAAGAACAAATGCTGTACAAATGTCACAGTGAATGTCACCAGGATACAAAGCAACAAAGTTTCTCGCAGTTCCTACCTCTGATGTTTCAGAGGCTATTCAGTGGTATTGGAGCTACAGTACTCTATTGTAGGTGAATTTTATTCACTTGTGAAATGTTTAAAAAAAAACAAATGATTTTGCCCCATTCATCAAATGTGGATTGTCTCTCATTAAGTCTACAGCGATGTTTTTCTCTCTCCATTTTCTTGTGTAGGGAAGGAAAAGTGATATCTCACTCAGCCCATTGAAGGATATATTCCTCCAACAAATCTATGCTATTTTAATCTAATGTGTGCACACCAGACTATCAATTGTATGTGTGTCAAACAAAGATAGAGGTTCAAACTATTTAATCCTCCCATATAATATTGCAACTGTCTTGTTATATACAATAAATTACCAGCTAGTGATTATAATGCTACAATTTAATGCTATTAACTTTCCTTCAAAATTGCTTGACAAAATTGAAACCCAGTCCTGTCCCTCCCAAAGCACCAGGAAATTAACAGTACCTTTTAAAGTATTACACACACACATATATGTATATTTGTCCGCAAATAGAGAATCATTACACATCACAATAACATCCTATAAAGTGCTTCTTGTTATTGTTGTTGAGACGTCTCTTTCCCCTCAGTGCAATAAGTTGCTGAGGTCGAGAACTCATTGCTCACAAATCCATTTGCACGACTTCATTTGAACACATCAGATCTCACACTTACTCCAAACAGACTGCATATCATTAATCCTCTATTTTCACACAACAGAGATATGGAGAGCATCTCCATTGACAGCTATTGTTGATACAAAGGCTGAAATTAAACTGAATAATAAACTTCCCCCGGAATATTGGAACTATAAATCTTATATACAATAACAGATACCAGCGAGTGATTTTAATGCAACAATGGGAGTTCAGATCATGGTATTTGCTCCTGTGTTTTATGGAGTAATACATACAAAACCGTCTATTCTATTGGTTCATAATCCATTCCAAACAACCAGAATGCACAAATCTCTTTTTTTTTTTGAAGGTTGAGATATTGACAGTAAAGTACAAATATTTAATGATGTGTTTGTTCGCTTCTAGCCTGGAGCTTCAGACATCATGGAATTTGTTTCAGAAAGGAATAACGCCCACACAACAAGGGTCCAGTTGGTAATTTATATCCTGTTGAATGTTAATCTCGTTCCATACCCTAGAAATTTACAGCACAGAAGAAGACCATTCGGCCCACTGTGCCTGTGCTGACTATATGATAGAACAATCCATTCAGTCCATAAGGTGTATGAGATGGGCTGTTACATCCTGAATGAGACAGATGTCATTGGGAAATGCCCTGAATTAAGTGATTTGGACTCGCTTGCAGTTGTTGGGCAGCAACAAAAAAAATGCAACAGAACGTTACAGCTGCAGTTGCTTAAATTGCAGTTATGACAAATCTGTAATCATTTGAATTAATTTTCAATACATTTTTAAAGAATTTACAGGAGTGTTGTGTCCATTGGGATTTAAAAAAAAATAGAAATGTGAATGTTATGCTTGCTCTAGGGGGGGAGAGAAGTAAAATCTACTGATTGAAGACAAATTTTCTCGAAATCCTCCATATATGTTATGATTGCTAAGTGTACTGGTTAATGCCCTACAGCTCAAGTTAAACCACAATCTAAAAAATATATAATCCTCTAAATCTCTTCGGTTCCTCTATATAATTTAGATTACACTCTCTGGAATCGGACAAACCACACTCTTTTCAATAAATCTTCCACATACGCAGATTGGAGATTCGTAGAAAAATTTGAGTAATTGTTTATTTGTCCGCTTTGTAGTTTGGAAAACATTTTGTTAAGAAGTAGCCACGATTTATATTCACAAGTGGGGAGAGCAAAACAGTTTGCTCTCGATGGTGTCAAAGTATTAATGCCACAATGCTTTGCCTGATCTACTCCCGAGCTGGTTTGCACTGTGACTGAAGCTGTCATTATTACAGAGGCAAAACAGACAAAATATTCCTAACACTAAAGATATTAAAACTAAAGCAGTAAAACATCTTATAATGGTAATAAAAGGATAGCATCACTCTGTGGCCTACAGTAATTAACTCAATTTTTGTATAAGAAAATTCTCTGATAGCCTTTTCCTGTTTTATGGACCAATTTTGTTCTTTTGCTTCTCTCTCCTGCGCTCTTATTTTACCATTTTTGTTCCTAACCCATTTTAAAACCCTTTATCTTAACGCTCAAAGACAAATTTGCACCTACAAATGGAAAGAGATATTGAATTTACATTAAATGAACATTGCTTGAAGTCTGGAGTTTCCTTAAAAAATATATAAATAGAGAGTCTCTTCCAGGTAAACCATCTCGATTTATAGAGAAACTGCAGCTTGTAAATTACTTTCACCCACCTAGTGCGCACTTTCCTTCCTATGGCATGCTCTGTTCAAAATCACTCTGTCTTAACTCGCATAACATATTATGTAACTTTCTGGAGAATTTTGGCTTTTATAATAGTACTTGTGGCTGTGCCTCTTAATAATTTACCGTTTAATGAGGCTACAATTTCAAATAGTCATTATCTGTTCCAAAGAATTTTAATAGAAGGCCTGGAGTTGCCCTTAGGATCTGGGTCTAGATTCCCAGCTGGGGAGGAATCCTACCTTGATCTAGATTTACTCTATATTGCATTTCAGAGTATTCAGAATTTGTCGAAATCCAACTTAACTTTGAAGCTGGTTTGCTGTCTTTCTTAAAAAAATACTAACAGAAAATGGCTTAACATTTTAAGACTGTATTTAAGAATTTGCAAATTCTGAATTGCTACATATATCAAATAAGTTTAGACCAGAGGGGAAATTTAAACCTCATGGAGGGTCCAAGTATTGGCATTCTAGTTTCTATAAGATTGTTCTGAAAACAATTTAATCCTATTAATAGTTAAACATATTAATATTTCATCATATGAAATTGTTCTTGATTGATTGCTGTCTTAATGTGTAGTCCAATAAAACATCCAACATTAAAATTCCTGGTCTATGGCACTTTACTATTGAACTGTGGTAATTCAAAGTTATAGTTTGCTTGAAATTTTGCCAGATTTTTTACTAATCTCTGCTTTTTATATTTTTGCGTCTTTTGCCGTCAAGTAAGTATTCACTTAGTATTTAAAACCTTCTGTTGTTAATGTGCAGTGATCGAACTGCAAGGGTTTATAGAAAGGAAAATAATTCCTTCCAATAAAAATGTACTTATTTGTTAATAATAATGTACTCATACAGTTAAGTGTGAACTTTTTATACTTCGCAATGGAAAGTAAGTTCATCTCATCAACATTCCTATACTTCTCCAGCAAAGGAATTCCTTGCCTTTGACTTGTGATTGCTTTTTCTTATGGATTTTGGGCTGTAATTGCGATGAAGTTTTATAATTAAAATGTCGCTATGATTTCAGTGCTTAGGCTTAAACTCCAATTCTTGAACCTTTACAACATGGTTGATAAATATCAAAAGTAAATAGATGAATGTTGCATGATATTTTTTGAAAAAATGGGCAAGTATAACTGCAGTAAATAGTTGGGTAAGCTTCTTCTCTAACTGATATTGACGTACTAATCGCTTGTTATTTGCATGATGGGTCGTCTGAATTAATAGATAAGAGATTAAGCATAAAACAAGAACCATTTGTTTCCGATTAATGGAAATGTCACCACTTTCTTCCAACGTTCAAATTCTATAAGCGAGGCATCCGCAGAGCATTAGAATGCAGTATCAACTCGGGATTTTTCAACCCTTACCATCAATTATTTCCCTCTTCCTGCTCTGCTTGACCCAAAACCCATTCCACTGCAGAGGAGAGAAGACTAATGCCCTCCCCGATGGCCGCTTTGCAATTGGCCACATGGAGATATTGACTTGCCCTCAGGTTGTTTGGTTCATCGGGCCACGTGCCTTCACATGACGGAACTCATTGTTTGGCAAATGTAATTATGAACTGGTGTTTTTGCTCTTAAATGACATTACTCATTAGACTAACTCGCCCCTCTACCACATCATCCACTAGAAACATAATCCATGCAAAAAACACTGAAGCTTTTCTTATGTGTCTGTGTGTAGGTCGACCAATGATTAATGCACAGTCAGTGTAAGATGACTAACTGCATACAGGTATTATGAGCTAATGGTTCAGTGTAGAGACAGAGAGAGAGAACATGTGCTTAAACAATACTATAATTGTGCCCTTCTGAAATAAAATACAATGAGATTAATTAATAAATTAAAATAGTTGTTTTTCTAAAAAAAATGTGCCTGCTTTTTTTCCCACAGAAAGAACAGTGAATTCTACAAGAGAGAGGTAAAACTACAACCAGTTTATTCTTGTTTCTCCAAATGCAAAATGCTAAATGTTCGCAGTTTTTTTTTATTGCAAGTCAGATTTCAGTTTCCAGTGTTTTAACTGCAAAAACCCAACTTGAAACGTGAAATGTCGTGTATTGTATTTTGTTTCTTCGTTATGCATTGTCAGTTTACAGTAATGTAAAGAGATTAAAAAAAAGTAAACGCTAGGAAAAAGCTACTATGTTATAATTGAAACACACGAATTAGATTAGTAGAATTAAGACAGTCAAAGCTAGAGCTTAATTTAATTCTAGATCTGAAACGAAATGTTCTGCTCAGTACATTATCATTACACCAAACTGAGGATATGAGTTTAGGGTTGGGATAGCTAGGATTTGTTGTGCGAAGTTTAAAATTTTTGACTTTTGTTTGACTTCTGAGGGCCAATTTACATAATAATAATAATAACAAAGAGTGAATGTATAAAACGTCACGTCTCTGAGATGTGTTGATCTGCAATTTATGCTTCCGAACTTTAAAACTCCCTTTGAATCTCTTTCCACTCATTTTTCTCCCCCTCTTTTGCCGTGGACTATTTAATTGGAAAAAAAAACAGATTGAATATTACAAAAAGGCAATGAACAGAACAAGAGTTAAATCTTCAATCTCCCTGGAGGGGTATGGCATTTTATTATATCCAACCGTGTTTCTCAAATGTTGTAAATATGCTTATCCACTTTCTTTAAAGGTTTTCCTTTTGCTTCTTTTGACTCCTGCGTGACTGTGAGCAGTGTCTTATCAGGTCGGAGATGATGGGATTTGCGACTGAAAGCAAAGAATGATAACGTATGTTATGGAGAACTCTGGAATAGGCACAATACTCTCCGTAGAAATCACTGGCCTAAGGAAATCCGATCAAAGGAATCACTAGAGCGTCTCAGGTTCCATCTAATGGACACTTCTAGACCGTGTAGATTTAGTTTCAACACGTGGCCAAAATTGGGAAACATGGGAATGACCTGATTTTCTTTGCTTTGAACATCCAGACTTATTTTTAAAATGTTTTTTTCAATTATTATCCCCTTTCCTCAATCTTGGCAAGTTATTATCCTCTGATTGAACCTTCCATCCCTCTCAGCACTATGTGCCACTCCTCCAACCTAAAGAATTGCCAGACAGTTAGCTCCCAAACTCCACTTGCACTGTTCACAAGATTGTTTTTGGATGACGAAGGTCCTTGTGATCTCATCCAACCGGAATACCCACCCTACCATCCCGTTCTTAAACTGACTACTAACAACAACAGCAAGATTACATTTGTATAGCGCCTATCACGTCGGGAGGATGTGAGGTGTATGTGAGAGAAGCAGGCTGACCTGACTTGGTTGGGACATCTCTTAAAGGTAGTCCTGCACCATTAGCCCTCTTACATCAATGAATTTGGCAAAGCAGTTCCTTCAGCTGTCCCTGCCAGCTATGTCCTTCATTAGAGATCTCGCAGCTCATCGGAGGCTGGTTGACAATGCTCTGTGCATATAAATAAGTGCAAGATCCTTAAGTATGCGTTCCCCCACTCAACAGCAGTGCCTGTAGGCAGTGTAATCATGGTTGTCTGGTTGTATTGCTCTTGAAAAGGGATACTGATGCTACATCACCTACTGCAGAGTAATCAGCATTAATTAAGTGAACCTAGACTTCTGGATTACAATGAAACCATTTTTCTCAACCTTTTTATCTCTTCTTATTTTTGATTTGTTGTTTTTGAGCTCCCTGCGCAATCCCTGGGTTTTGATCTGGAATTCGGAACCAACTCATTGAAACCATGTGCTGCATTGTCAAAGGTGCCGTCCTTCAGATGAGATGTTAAACTGAGGCCCCGTCTGCCTGTTCAGGTGGATGTTAAAGATCCCACAGCACTATTCGAGCAAAGAAAGGAGTTTATCCCCCAAAATTGCTGTGCACAATCTTGCTGCTGCGTTTGCCTACAGATACGCAGTCACTCCATTTCACAGTAAATCCCGTGAAGCATTTGAGATGAGCTTCCAACAACAACCTAATAAGGCACCATACCAAATGGAGGGATTATCTTAACTGTTTAAGCAATTTAGAATTAGTCAGTGTATTTTTTTTCAGGGGCTACAAAATCCCATTCTGTCTGATATTAGTATTATTATCATGACCCAGGATTTCCAAGTTATTTATCACGTAACATGTCACATTTTGTTTGTGCTATTACTTCAAGTCTACAAGTGAGTTGCTGTGATCAGTGATGTATTCTACCTTTTTTTAATATGATCGACAGATTTGTGAAGCACAGCGAGCAGTATCTTATGCATGATCCGATCATGTCTGGTAGCCTTCCCAGCAATCCCTGGATTACAGGCGATGCCACATACTGGATATTGAATGCTGACTTGTAAGTGGTCAAATTGAGACCGAGTAGAAAGTAGAAGCTATTAGAAAGCTGTTACCGCGAGCAACAGGTCAGTTTCGGATCATGTAGAGATTAGGATACTCTTGCTTCCCAATAACGGTCAGAGAATCTCTCAGCCTGCGATAGCAACAGCAAAGAGAGCAAGCCTACTTTAAAGGCATGTCAGGAAGATTATTCTGGTGCACTTTGGGTATGGGTGCGCAACTCAAAGACTGATGGTGCAATGGGTGTGAGTCTTTGGAGCTCAGTTAAAAGTGAGCGTCAGAGCAGGAGATGATGGCAGAGAAAAATACAGCTAAAAAAGCCCTTGCGTTATTTCTTCTTTCGATTGGACCACAATTTTTTTTTATAGTACACAGTATCAGTTACATATCTCTTCGTATAATTTGATTTACAGTGTTTATCTAAGATACGTCGTGGATGTTTTTCTAATTTTTTACATGAGCAGTTTAATTATCTTACAGTGTGGTAATATATTTTTAATTAATACTAACAGAATTATTTTCTATATCAAAGCAATAAAACATCAGGTTGAACTGAACGATCAAGTGTAACTCTGCTGAACCGTAATGCGCAGCAGCAGCAACAACAACAAATTACTTGTATAGCGCCTTTCGCATCGGGAGGACGTTCTTTCATACCAAACTGTCAGCCGGCAACTGAAATGAACCCGTTAAAATTGGGAATCAGTTCTGAATTGTAAACAAGCCAGAATAGTCATCTGTGGTTGACAATACTTTTATTACTTTTTGAAATGAAAGATTAATAGGCGTCTAGGAAGAAAACTTAGCACTGAATAAGATTGAAAAAGAGCAAGAATATATTTCAATCTGGCGTTCTTCAAACAAATTGTGTTGGCTTGTTTTTATAGTACACAGTATCAGTTACATATCTCTTCGTATAATTTGATTTACAGTGTTTATCTAAGGTACGTCGTGGATGTTTTTCTAATTTTTTACATGAGCAGTTTAATTATCTTACGGCTTCTAGGATTTAATATACCAGTGCATTTTGATTGATATTCTTACTTTATTTCACCTTATAAAAGAACAGTATAATCTGTCAGGCATTATTGCGGGAAATATGCATGATAGACGTGTTACATTCCTGTTAGAAGCTAACCTAAGGGTAGGAGAAGCAAGCATTTAGAATTGAAATATCCAACTCTATAAACTGGAGCTCTTGATTCTTTGACTTTGTATGATTCAATTTTGCAAATTTATGCAAGCAATAACCGTGTTTCGCTGCTTCATTGCCGAGCGAAGATTTCACAAAGTGTAAACATTTTCAATAACTTTTTAAATAAATAGCTCAATTTGCTTGGGTGAAAAATAAAATTTCCATAACATTTTCGATAACAGACGAAAACTGGGTTTCACTGCTTCATCGCCCAACTAAGCTTTACAAAATGTAATTTTTTTTCCAAAAAAAAAGCCTTAAAAAATAAAACTGTAAAAGTATGAACGTTTTCTGACCTCTTTCTGCTGACAGCGTGACCACCCCAACAAAGTTACGTTTGGAACGTTGGGCCTTCATCTTCAGAGAGCTCCTGAATGATCCGCTTGGTCGACAGGAACTTAAACTTTATCTGGAAAAAGAGATCAGTGGTAAGTTGTCAATCAACGTTATTTCAGGTTTCAGTGCGTTTTTCTTTTCGCTCGTTCTCTCTGCCCCCACCCACACTCCCACCTCTTTTTATTTTTTTTACTTTGCTTCAATGTTTGTTTGTGTCATTATTACTAGAGTAGTATCAGGAAGGAGAATTTCATGGGTTAGCAATGGTCATCTCTCCAAATCAGGGACAATACACCCCTTTCCGTCTCTCATTCAAACCACAGAACTGTATAAGAGTGCACATCCTTCCAAGGGGTGAGCGCGGTTCAGAATCGTAAGATGCCAGTGTAAGGCTGCTTTGGAGTGAGTCTGCAGTTTAGAAATTTATAGCTGTTGTTAACCTTTCACAGTTGCTATTAAAGAGGCTGATTCTGGGTCAGCATTAAACAGAGATCATCTGTCAGCACGCCCCTGCTTCAAGTGAAAAAAACAGCAAGCGCTGGCTGCTCTGTCAGTGCCGGTTCATGAGCTGTGAGTTCTACAAATATACAGTCAATTCACTTTACAGTGTGTTCTGTGAAGCGCTTTGGGACGTCCTCCCGACGTGAAAAGCGCTATATCAAATGCAAGGATTATTATTATTATTATTATTACAGCAAGGCTAATCTTTCCTTCAGCGCTGGTTTCATCTCATTTAGGCTTTACTTTCTGCTGCAAAACATTCCTAACTCATCAAACAGTGCACTTGCATAAGACATTGCTGAACTCGATGAGTCACATTATGTTGGCGTAAATATTTAAATCAATTTCAATCGTGGTTACAGGGCAGATGGATTACGTCAGAATTTATAAAATGCGATTCGACTTAGTTTAGATTTGTCCCCAGCCGTTGGTTTAATTGATGTTTGGGCCACTGCACAACTAATTAATTTTATTTGGGATTAATCCTCGTGAAATTATAATTACCGTAAAAAGTAGGATTGCAGACCAGGCAGCACATCTTACTTCGCTGAGAGAGCAAACAAAATGATATGGGTTCAGGGCTGCAAAGGACAATTTCAGGAAGACACCAGGAAGTATTTCTTTACCCAGAGTATAATTAATGACTGGAACAGGTTACCAGGAAGGGTGGTTGAGGCCAGGATGCTGAACGCATTTAAGGAACAACTTGATGTTGTGATGGGAAGAGACATTTGCAGGACCCGATAAGACATTATATCAAATAAAAGGTATTATTATTGCTCATCTTATTGTTCTTTTGTGACATTCCAAGCACAGATTAGCTATTGCATTTGCCAAGGTAATAACATTCACTTGTTATCTAATCAATTACATTAGGTAAAGTGCTTTGAGATGTCTTTCACTGAAAGTGCTATATAAATCTGAGTTATTATTTCTATGAAAAAAAACTGATCAAAAACAGTACCCTTCTTTCATTTGAAGCGCACAAATGAATTAGCCTAAATGCAAATACCTGTATTAACTGATATGGAGTTTATCTAACAATTAATCAGCAAGAAAATTCATGTTTAGTAGAAGAATTCCAGCCAGTCTTCCCTTGTATGACAGTAGGGATGTTTAATTACCATAAGGATGGGTATACTTTGCAATTAGAATATTTGGAATCTCATCACAAGTATTGGAGTGTATAATTTCATAACATATGGGCACATTTTCTGTACAACAATAGGTAATGGTCTGTGAATGTGAATCCAAGTAAGTCAGCACCTTTTAACGTGCATACTTATGTTTTCTGAGCTGTGCTCACAATTCAAAGAAATCAAAATCTTAATTAAGAAATCAGAAACCAGATATTGTATACTCGTCGATTAAAAATACTGTAGCAATCTTTTCACTATATTCCAACTTTAGACTGAAAGTTTTTAGAAATGCAGAGGAAATTAAACCCTCAACACCAAATAGTGTTTCATTAAAAAAAGATGATTCATTTGATTTTCAAACCAGGTGAGAATCTTAGCTTCTGGGAGGCCTGCGAAGACATAAAATATGGCGAACTGTCAAATCTTGAAGAAAAAGTGATTGCCGTCTATCAGTAAGTTTGCTACTTTTTAAACCAATCTCGAAAGAATTGTAATACCATCTGTTTGGAAACAGCCTGGGCTGGCGCTCCTGTGCTGTACTGGGGAAGCGTTAAATTTCAGAGGCACCGTCCTTGGGATGAAACCAACAATCCCACCGCTGACATGCTTATTACATCCTCTTCAATGGGAAAGCAGCGAAACACGATTTGGAACTCCCAGCATCTTCAGCTCAAGCGAAACAGCGTGCTAATACTGAAGGACCTATTTGTCCCACTATGTACCACGATATTTATATCATTTCTGCTTCCGGTTTCCAATGAAACGATGTATGTACTTCTCTGCAGGCAGTTTCTAGCTCCAGGTGCCAGCAAGTGGGTGAACATTGACAGTAAAACCATGGAAAAGACCCTCAATGGATTAAAGTCCCCCGATCGTTTCATCTTGGATGATGCACAGATGCATATCTATATGCTGATGAAAAAAGTGAGTGGTTTCTTTTGAGATGCAACACTTCAATGTTGGTTGCACGTAACATTGATTTCATTTCAGTGGCTTTTGTGCGTGTGTTGAAAGTTGCCCGTACACTAATTTACTGACCTTCGATTCTGCAAATGGCAATCGGCAGATTATCCCACTGAATGTTATTGAAGAAAAAAATTATGTAAAAATGCAAGTAGGCAAAAATACAAATGTACTGAAGAAATAGTCTGATGACCAGTTTTGCACAAAATGTAACTTATTTGTGTTGTTTATCTTTAGGACTGTTATCCCCGCTATTTAAAGTCTGAGATGTACAAGAGTATGCTAGTTAGAGCCAGTGTTCCCCAAGAGGCAAAGAAAAGGTATTATTTTATGTTATTTATTTATTGTTCAGCGAGCAGTAAGTAGGATCCCTGCTGTTAGTCGCTTGGCGGATTGCTTTTCCGGGAGTAATAATAACTTCAAAAAAAAAAATAATAATTTGGTTACTTAATCCACGACTGTTTGTGGGTCATTGTTGTGCGCAATTTACAGTATATTCTGTGAAGCAAATACAAATGCAAGGATTATTAATTATTATTATTATCTCAAAAATATAGGGCAAAAGTTTGATTCCTGTCAATGTTAGGTACCGGAATTAATCCATTTATTCTTCCATCCTGAATATTTATAATAATAAATAGTAATAGTTACATTTGGTAGAGCACCTAATCACGTCATCAAAACACTTCTCACAATTACAGTTGTGTTAGTTATAAGTAGAAGGAAAAAATGATTACATAGATAAGTGGTGACTTGGAAAGAGGTTAAGGCTGAAACTACACTCATCTCTTGTAAAGTTGAGCTTTCTTGCATTGATGCTATAAAAAGTGATTGGAAGTAATATACACTTTTAAATATTCAGAATTACTTTAAGTATTTTCCGAAACCTTTCAGGAGTTTGTTATTTTGGAGAGACATTGATTTGCAAAAAAAAATTACGAAGTCCTAGAAAGTTTATAGTGCATCGGCGATTCATAATAATAATAAAACAATCTTTGCATTTCATATAGCGCCTTATCACGAGACGTCTTGAAACGCTTCACGGAATATACTGCAAAGTGAATTGACTGTATATTTTGTGGGCGAAACGCGGCAGCCAATTGCGCACAGCAGCGTCATGTCTACATTGATCGCTGTTTTTAAGTGTTCAGCTGTTTTCTCTGAGGGGCTTCCCTCCAAATACACATTTGTCTCTCGTTTATTTTTTCCCCCAGTGTGTTTCCTTTCATGAGGTGGCAGCGTCATTCGAGCCCAAGCCCCGCACAGGCCTCACACCTAGCGGAGGATGATGGAAAATCTAAGGCTGCAACGTCAGGGACTGTTTCACAGGTGGAGAACTAAACCCAGCACCTTCCCAGCATCAACGTTTCTTTTACGTTACCATTATCCAGTGTCTTGTCACTATCCCTGTGCTTTCCACAGGACCGTGATCAGAGAATAGTGTTATATATAGGTGACATCTTTTATTAATCTTATCGTTTTCTTTGTTCGGAAAGTATAAATTGCATTTTCTGTTTAAACAATGAGACCCTGAAGCAGAATCTGAACATAACTTCTGTATGCGGTTTCTCACACCAGCAAGGAATATAGAAAAAGGATGACAACATTACTTTGACATTATTTTCAATAGTAGCCTTCTAACTTCTACCCTGCATTTTATCTCCATACTGAGATTCATCTATCTTAACCACAGTGAACTCCTGATAACTCGACCCTGGGTTAACTTGTCACTACCACTTAAGTCATCAAGTCGTCAATATCTTGGCCCTAACTCTCTCTAAGCCCTTTATCCCTTGGAGTGACTGATTAGGACTTTACTGTGTTTCAGTGTTTAGAATTATTGAGATATGTTGAGGATATTGAACAATAAATTGCCATCCATGCAGTTGACCTTCACAGACTCGAAGTAGAAAGAAGAGAACTGAATTCTCCACAGAGATTTGCGCATTGAAGGCATTAGTGACAGTGTATCACAAGATTGGTCTGGATAAATGAAGTAGGCCCTTTGGCCCCTCTAATCTCATCCCTCCAGACCACCCACCCTACCATTCCTCCGTCACTGCATCAAGCTGAAATGATTCTAGTGTCCTGATCTCTACCACTTTCCAGTCACTGATTACCCTCTGCATAAAGAAAAACTTCCAGGCATCTGTCCTGAAGTTATCCTTATATACATCTCTAAAGCTACGTCCTCTTGTTCTATTATCATTATACATCCTTAAAGTATTGATCTGAGGTTACTTTATCAATCCCAATTAAAATATTGACTCCTCTGAGTCGTCTTTTCTCAAGAATGAAGAGCCCGAGCTTGTCTTGTCGTTGCTCTTAACTCTTTCCTTTCACACCTGGGATCGACCTTGTTGCCTGATATCGCAGGGACCAGAACGGTATGCAGTATTCAAGGTGCGGTCTGACCAGACCACTAATAAGTAACCTCATTCGCACCTCTCCTGGTTTGGACAATAGATCAGATTACCTGTACCCCCCACACCCCCCTGTGCCTGGCTATTCAGTTCTCTAAAAATATAGCATCTAACACTCATGTTAGACTTGTTTTCAGCCATTCTTACTCCATCTACGAAAATGGATGGTATCATCCAGCAAATGCATGGTAAGCGAGACATTTTAAACCTATTTAATGGTTAGAAGGATAAAGTAGGTCGGAAAAATTAAACTTACATCTGAACACAAAAATGGAGAACATAAAGAGTAGGAACAGAATAAGAGAGAAAGTAATAGAGAGATGGGAGGTCAATTATTGCAGTAACGTTCTTTCAGACATCTGCCCTTTAGAACTAGTTGTATTTTAGTTATGCATTAGTTAAATCAGTTGAAGCTTATTATTTATATAACATAAATAATTGTATACTGGTGGAGTAACATACCAGGTCTGCTTACTATCTGTTTTGGTTGTGTAAGAACAATTTCTTTACGTTTTCACTCATATCTTTCATGTTACATCATATGTTTTCAGTGTTAATCCTCATATTAAACATTTCTTCCAATAAATGTACTGTATGACCGCTTAGCGTTTTCATTGTTTTTTAAAATTGATCTCTGAAACACGTTTTCATCAAGTCAAATAAGAGCATTAGTTTTGAAAAATAATATTTGCTGATAATTCTTTAGTTACAGAATGAGTCTAGAATACTATGAGAGTACAGTGCACATGTAGGCAGAACATACGTAAGAAACTCTGGGACGCTACCCTGCATGAGGGGCGCTCTATAAATGCAAGTTGTTGTTGTTGCTGAAACGTATTTTCATATTGCAATGTCTCTGCTCCATTTCAAAATCCTTTTTTTTTCATCCCCACAGCTCTGCCGATTCTCCCATCCTTTGGCAAACCTAGGAATGTTCACTGGACCTAATATCCCAGATAATCCCGAGGACATACCTTCCTGGTCCCATCCCATCGTTCCCTCATGTTCCCCTGGAAACCTTCCTACAGCAACCTACCCCTACTCTAGCTTCGCAAGCTCTAAGAGGTTCTCTGTTTGTTCTTCGGTTGCATTCTCCGCATGCTTTAAGACTAGTAGTACACTTGCACTCTCTAAATTCAAACCTGCTTCACTAGCTAATACAAGAGTGCAACCGTGGCATGTTGGACTAGGTGAAATCAGTGAAGTAAGTCTATTGCTTTCAATATGTCTACCCAAAATGGGTGCATATTACATATACTGTATATACATCAAGGGCGTACAAAGAACTAAACAAAAACAGCACTGATAAGGAATTTATTAAGCAGTAATGTTATTTTCAGCTTCTGGGCTTGTTTTCCAACATTTGTTCAAGACATTTTGGACCCCCAAAAAAGTTTGTGCATTAATAATATGCCACTAGTTCTTGGTATTAGTACCCCCAAAACCAGAAATGACTGGAAGTGATACAAGGGTACTTATTCCCTGATGTAAACTAGGTTAGCAATCCAATCCAGTCCATATTATTTTGCCATATCTTACTTTCATTAAACTATTCACTTTCTACCACCTTTTGGAAAAGGGCCAAAACATAAAGGAGGGTCAAAACATTTGCATTTAGTTCTTTGCACATTTCTGGGTACATACAGTTACATGTGCGCGTGTGATTTGAGTTTATTCTATATATGTGGATACATTATTTAATAGGAGTTTCTTTTCAAAATTCCACCCTGGAAAGAAATTTGAAAGTCGAAACTAGACATTTCAATACGAAGTCTCATCAGAGCTTCACCAGATCCTGTGGCTTCTGAATTATATAAAAATGCAAGAAACAAACGAGTTGTGTCGTACTGCAGCACAAATACTAAACAGTACCACATCTTTACTGTGTTCGTTGTTAAGCAAAACATATATAGAATAAGCTGAATGTTCTGCAAAGCACAATGAAATGTTTAAGTGATCTAGTGCAATCAATATGTGATGAAAGTGGAGGGAGGGGTGGAGGAACTATCATTTCCCTGGTGGTTATTAGCACAATGTATGTTAACTGAAAGGGCTTTTTAAACCACTGATCCTCACAGGGAATGTGACATTGAAGCAGAGGTAAGCCTATTTGATTCCTGAATTACTGACCTGTCTATTGTATGTCATCTCAGGACGTACGAGAATGAATGAAGTTTAAGACATAAAACAAGCCGGTCGAACAAGAGCAGGGGCACCTTTGATTTCTCAAATGTAACATTGCCACATTGGTCTCATTACTCTATTGCTACAAGGGACGGCACGCATTTTAAACATTTGGCCATTTGTGTCTAAGCTGTTCAAAAGATAGAATTACTAAATTGCTATACTTATTGATCATAAGTATAAGTATATACACATATAGAATAAACCCACGTCACACGCGCACATATAACTGTATGTACCAGAAATATGCAAAGAACTAAATGCAAATGTTTCAACCCTCCTTTATATCCCAAGTTATAAGTTGCCATACTTATTGATCATAACTACTCTAGATCTCTCACAACAATTGCAAACAACTATTTGCAATTATGCAGTGGTATCCTTGTGTTCAGTATACATTTACTTTTTTCAAATTAAAAGTCCTCTTCAATTACTTAGTCCGTAGATATCATGGAGGTGCTATAATATAAACTCTAAACTATGGTTAAAAATGGATCTTGCTTCCAGTTTCCCTGCTTGAATGCAATGATGTCTTGAATGACAGTCTGCATCATGAGGAGCAAAGAAATTATAAAGGGATTGCTCTGCATTTAATTCATCAAAGTCCCCATTTTAATAAGGATAATGAAAGGTTCACATCCCTCGATTCTGCCACTGCTAAATTTGATAAGTACCCGATTTCAATTAAAGTAATTGTGCTGCTCTAATATAGGCTGAGCAAGAGCAAAGTATACATAGTGTCACTTGTTTCTTTTCGTAAATTTTAGTCCAAGGCCACAGCACATGGCAAAATGCCACTTGGAAATTCTTCTGCTTCTTATATCCTGGCATTTGTTTTATGAATCACTGCACAGATGTCTTCATAGCTGCTTAACAGCCCCATTGCCCAGAAATATTTGCCTCTCTGTAAATCACAGATGTGCAGCAGATTATCCTCTTCCACCAAATAGCTTTCATTATTGTGTGAACGGAATCACGCTCATTCCCAAACACAGATCAGGAAGATCAGACGTTTCTTAAAAGTTACACACCCAAACTATTGTTTCACTGAAATAAGTCGGACTGAACAAAATATTGTAAATACTTGGCACTTGAGTTGATTTTCGGCGATATTAAAGTGGCCTCGTAGGCTAACAATACTATTATCCACATGGATAATAGCCACTGAACAATGCCTCAAGACCTTGGAACCATGTGCCAGCATGAATCTACATTTTTCCAAGAGGGCTAAAATGGGGAAGGGGAAAGGGGATAAAAAGCATTGTGCAAAGCTTACGTGCTGTAGACAAATGCCAACAATGTAAAGCCTTCAACGGCAAAGGGAGCAAAATCAGCAAGCGTTTGTCACAAAGGTCATTTTACAACCAAAGACGAGCAGTCGAAAAAGCGATGAGTAAAGGTAGGTCATGAGTACGAAATGAACCTTGCAACAGCATTGCATTGTAAACGCAGGAACATTTTAGAGGAACCACTCCACTGGGGACACTGGAGGAATATTATAATTCAGCTCATTGCAGAGGTTATGGGGTCTCATCACAATTGACCTACTTAGTATTTGTTCTAAAACTAGAAAATGAGAAATAACATTATTTTACTCTGACATATGAGAAACATCATCATGAGAAAGGCAATGAGTCCGAAGTGCGTGGGGGTGGCAGGGAGAAGGGGTTGAGAAAATGGGGGTGAATTGATAAAAGTGTTCTTGAGCTAACTTATAATACTACTACTAATAATAATCCTTGCATTTGATATAACGCTTTTCACGTCTTCTCGACGTCTCAAAGCGTTTCACAGAATACGCTGTAAAGTGAATTGACTGTATATTTGTGGGCGAAACGCGGCAGCCAATTGCGCACAGCAGCGTCCCACAAACAGTCGTGGATTGAAGTGACCAGGGATTATTATCAGGCGTGTGAAGTAAAGAAACTTGCCCAAGGTTTCTCCCCGCCGGGAATCAAGCCCAGGTCTCTCGCTTGAGAGGCGAGTGCTTTAACTACTGAGCTTCAGGACTCCACTTTTGCACAACTCCATGGTTAAATCAAACACAAGTTACTAAAAATAAAGTTGCTCAATTCTTTTCACTGGTCTCTCCCTGGCTAGACCCGAAGACCCTCTGGAATGTAAAATCTTCTCGATGGATCCAGAAGATGCAGATTCCTCGGAGGACAAGGCAGCCGCACCTCAGGACAGACTGTCAGAGTATCAGACTCAACTCTAGAGTTCGAAAGAAAAAGAGCGTTTATTTTTTATTGTAAAGTGCCTTTATTTATAACGAAGAATTCCACTTTATACTTTTACTGCAAATTCTAATTCCAATTCGTGCAGCTGCAATACTGCCTAATCTCAAAAGCTAAATCAGTTTTCACACGTCCATTTTTATGACAAACATCTGAAAAATGTGTCTTGGTTCAAGACGTTTCCAGATATCTGATGGAAGTATCTTCTTGCGGTGCTGGAGGAGGTATTGGCCTAACTCGTGCAGTTACCTGAAATTCGAACCCACCCATAATTCTCTTTTGACGCACGCCCGCCTGAATGAAAACTGAACGATATTTAAATCTGTCGCAAATTTCCCCTTTCATTCATTGTTTGAGAGAGTGCTGTTTTTATTAAGACAACACGTTGATTTACATACAGAACAGCTAACATGAAAAAATTTTTAGTGGGCATGTCTAGCACATTCAGCACCACAGGGAGAAATCTGGGGGTGGAACAAATGTCCTTTTAAACGTCCTAAGAATAGTTCCCAATATGTACATAAGGCTAAGCTGTACCTGTAATGTGAATAACATGGTGTCAGATTGTTATTGTTTTTTTGCTTTCGACGTTGGAAATGCAATAAATAGCCTCCTGAAAATTGAGCAAAGTCTAGCTGTATAAATAAGCCACTGCTACACGGTGAGAACCGATATCTCAGTCACAGTATCGATAAAATTGTGAAAGACCAGATGGTAAACTGTAATGCCGACCACCAGATGGCAATAAAGTCTTTATAAAACATCTAGTGGGAATTGTTTATTTGTTGGGATTTAATTAAACAAAGGTATTTTTGTTTCATTATATTGTACATGTATGTGATTATATTAAGGACCGGAATAAGTCTTGAATCCTAATGATCTGACCCAAATAATAATAATAATAATAATCCTTGCATTTGATATAGCGCTTTTCACGTCGGGAGGACGTCCCAAAGCGCTTCACAGAACACACTGTAAAGTGAATTGATTGTATATTTGTGGGCGAACGTGGCAGCCAATTGCGCACAGCAATGTCCCACAAACAGTCGTAGATTGAAAATGACCAATTTATTATTGGTTTTGGTTTCGATTATAGATTATAGATTTTTACTTGATCAGTCATGCTTGCTATGCTCAAGAGTATCCAGACCAGAGTTCCACATATATGCCATCTAAAAGTAAAAATTTCCCTTTGCCTGGAATAGATGGACACTTTGTCAATGTACAAGTTTGGGCTGATGAGGTCAGCCTGAGATTCCTTAGAGCTGAGCCCGAATGGAAGGCGACAAAAGAATATGTAATGGATCGACAGTCGCCGAAAATGTTCGATCTCAAATACACGTAGATTTCACACCATTAAATTATTAATGAGAAACTGCTAAACTGCAAATGTTTTCAAAGAAAAATGAGATGAAGTAATTTTAAGATTAATTGTTTGAAGGGCGTTCTTCTGGTCCGATCCTGGGCTCTATTTTCTTTGTGGTTCTTAGTGAAGGATGCAACATTATCCATTAAGCATTCCCAAAGACTGGGTTTGGACTGCAACAAATGCAAATCCTGTCCCATGTTAAGAAATCAACTGCATGGAGTGCAACCTTACATATCAAACACTCACCTGGAGGTGAGCGCTGGTGGATACAGTTACCAAAATCTAAATTTTAGCAAATTCTGGATAATTAAATCCCTAATCCAAAGATAATTCCTTATATGGTTATCGTTTTTAATTTTTACCATTTGGGAAATCATGGGTCATCAACGTCTCCTGAACCTGGACAGTTTTGAACTCACTTAATGCTGCGGCAAGCGATTAATAAAACTGCTTAAAGCAGTTTTTTTTTAAAAAAAATTGTAAATAAATGCAAACTTGCATACTCTATAGGCCTCTATTCTTTCAGTTTCATCTCAGTCTTTTTCTATGCATCAGCAGTAGGTTTCAAAGGGTAAACAAATATTGGGTATAACCTATCTTTGTCTGTAACGAAGAATACAAGTAGCTCTTCTAGAAAAAGAGCACATTAAACTTTGTACGGAAAAGCATGCAATCCTATTGTCTGCGCCCAATTACATCTTCTGGAACTTTGTCGTCCCATTGCATTTCTGCAAGTTAGAATACATACAGTACAATGTAACCAAGCTTCGGAAGAATATTCCTGACATCTCTCTAAAACTGCTTAAAGCACTTTTTTAAAATTTTTTTAAAATAAAACAACTAAAAGATTTACTTGTGTAGCTCTAAATGAAAATACGTTTTATAAATCAGCAATAGCTGAGGTGGAAAAACCTAAAACACCTTTGGGTATACTGAAGTATTATTCTCCTATTGAATTGTTTTCAAGTGGACCTTTTACCGCAATTAATTTCTCCCAAGTATATATCATGCATTTCCTTCTTCCCAGCAGCCGTTTGCATGATTTGATTCATGAAAATAACACAGGAAATACAATTAGTAAGTTGTTTTGCTTTTCTTTAAAATATAGAGAAACAATTAGATCCAGTGCTAAAATAGCAGAGCCAGATTGTTTGTAGAAAGATTAGTATAGTGGGATTAGTACAGTAAAATTATGTCAATTTATTGTTCAACAAAGAATAATACAACAGATGCGAATGGGATTTAAGAGTCAGGGATCACTACACTCGGATTGCTTCGTCACATCAAAGCCTCAGCGCTACAGAGCTCTATGGGCTTGTTTGGTTACCTTTAGAACCCAAAATATATTTTAAAAAGGAACTAATAATAATAATAATAAATAATAATCCTTGCATTTGATATAATGCCTTATCACGTCATTGAGACGTATCAAAGTGCTTCACGGAATAGACTGTAAAGTGGAGTGACTGTGTATTTTGTGGGTGAAAGGCGGCAGGCAATTGCGTTTAAAAGAACATTACCTTGTACAGAAACACCTTCTTCCTCTTTCCCCACCACGGCTGTGCGTTATGAAGCTGCCAGCTCCAGTCACCTTCACCTTGTCAAAAGTGATCATTACGTGTGAGCCTTGACTTGATTATTGGCTGACTATTCAGGATTGATCAGTTTCTTTGCAAACAAAAAAATAAGTTTCAGGCAAGAAAAAAAAAGTAGAGGGGAAAGCTCACCACGTTTTTTTTAAAAAAAAGTGCAAGCTTCTCGTCACTATCATCACATTTCATAGCCTCATACGCCGCAGGTGAAGCCAAGTCAGTTCATCAAGAGCCATCAATGTACAGTAAAGTTTAGAGTCAACTGAAATTTTTGCTGTCTACGAGAATAGTTGAGAATGAGTGAACATCGAGCATATGGATTTGCTGGTTTGCTGTGCATCCGGAATTGGCACATTTATAAATACAGCCTTATATTTTTTAAACTAGTTTTCTGTAAGCTCTTTTAAGAACTGCAGAAAAACTCAAATTGAGATCGTTTTCAGCAATTTGCCAAATTCTGCATTGCTCCGTAACGCGACCTAAGTCGAGTAATTTTAAAAATCAAAATCCCAAAGTTTTATACAAAAATTAAGGTCATTAAATGTTTTCTTCAATATTCGTTATAGCCTTTTGAACTTATTTTTTTAAATTTAATGTTTGTGGGACATTGCTGTGCGCAATTGGCTGCCGCGTTCGCCCACAAATTTACAGTCAATTCACTTTACAGTGTGTTCTGTGAAGCGCTTTGGGATGTCCTCCCGACGTGAAAAGCGCTATATCAAATGCAAGGATTATTATTATTATTAATTCTATAATCAAGTGAACTTGTACAGGTTTAAGCTTCTAATACAAAGTACTTTCTAGCTCACTGCTTAAAACTCACCATTTACATAAATACATTGACGAGGCTGATTCCAGGACACCTAGGAAATGGTTCTGAAAGAAAATGAAAAAAAAAGTTGGTCGGCTTTTCGCGCATTTCAAATCAGTAACTTGTCCTGGGATAGAACATTTGGGACTGTAAAATGGTGACCCCATTATGCATTACTTGATTCAGTCTATTATGTCGCTTAGTAAATTGCTTTCTGCTTTGTTTGTTAAAATAACTATCGCCAATCTCACTTTTATAAATCCGTGAAAAACACTGTGAAGCCAAGCTAAGCCATGACTTAAAAGCAATCCTTTTTAGAGCAGCTCTGCTTATTCTAACAAACTCCAAATTATCTTCCAGTCTGAATCAGCATTAGAAGTGCTAGGCTTTCTTCCAAAAGAATTTAACACAGTTCAATCAACTTGTAACATCTACTTCATCCTATTGCAGTACTCACAACGTCAGCCAAACGATGAGCAAAATAGTCTAATTACGCTGAATGCATAATACTGAATATTAGCTAAGTTGAGTTTCTAATTGAAGTAGTTTGTTCTATCCTAATATGTAACGTTAGGAGCAAAACTATGGAATTCATTTATTCAAGTCTTTTAAAAACAATGATTTGGTGTTTTTTTTGTTGCCTTACATGCTAACATTTCCTTTTTCCATTCTACAGTGCTGGTTGAACATTTTATTTACTGCTGTATTGGTTCAATGAATAATTTAAGATAGATTAACATGGACTGAGTGTTATAAAACAAACACAAAGCCTTTCATCAAATATGCTGAACTGTAATAAACCAGCTCTGGTGTCATTTCAAGCCCAAACATTTACATTTAAATTTAATTTATGATCCATAATTCTGATATGTTTGTGGTACATCTCAGCTACAAAAGTGTCTGGCATATTAGTTGGCGGAATTAGGTAATATCAATGTTCCACATTCTGCCAGTATATCACATTAATGCTGAACAATAACTTTAGTGCACTGTTTAGCGTTGCAACAAAATATCTAAAGGATTAATGCCAACTTTTATACTGATGCTTTTACTCATACCATTTTCTTTTAACGTCTGGGAATATGCAAATATCTCTCGTTGAGCTTATACAACATGCGAATCGGCAGCATACAAATATACGGTTTGATAATGACTCATGAGAAACAAAGCTGTCCGAGGGAGCTTTTCCTGGTTGGCAGAGATTTACCATCTTGTGACAAATTGCATTGGGAAATTTGTTGTCCAAGGTCAAAAAATATCAATAGTCAATGACGCAATTGTTGCAGAGAAGCGATTGCGATAGCACTGAAACAGTACCCTCACACGTCTGCCACTTGCTGTCTCTGCCCTTTATTTGTTCATCCATTTAAAGTACTTTGAGACACTATCCTGCAGGAAGGGTGCTACATAAATGTAAGTTGTTGTTGGTGTTGTAGCAAAGTCCTCTGTGCCTCTTCATCTTCAATTTTATCATCATTCACACCCAGATCCAGTGGTGACGTACGTCAGAGAAAAAGCAGTTTTCATCCTGCCACCAAACATCAAATCACGTTAGGTACGATTCCTTACTCCACACGCCTGTTCACCTAATAGTAAGTAGGAACCTGGTCGTTCAGTCAATTGGTGGATCGCTTTCTGGGGTTAATCCTCAAAAAAAGTGATCACTCAATCCTCGACTGTTTGTGGGACACTGCTGTGCGCAATTGGTTGCCGTGTTTCGCCCACAAAATCCACAGTCAATTCACTTTACAATATATTTTGTGAAATGCTTTGAGACGTCTTAACGATGTGATCAGGCACTGTATCAAAGCCAAGGATTATTATTATTATTATTATTATTCTGTATGCGTCCTCTGTAAAAATGATTTGGCCAGACTCAACCCAGTTCCCGCTGGGCACAGAAATGCTCTTTATGTTGTTGTTCAGGACAGAGTAGTGAGTTTACGCTGCAGTTTTCTGCACTCCAGTTGATGTAAGAATCCTTGATGCTCGCGGTACCTTGGTAAAGCATTGGGAGTCAGGACAAGGGCGTCACTCACCTTCACAAAAAAAATGCCTTTTAATATTCTCAGATACTACAATTAAACATCCATCCAATATCCGGTAATGAATCATACAGCAGATTTGCACCTTCAGAAATATACACACATACACACTCACAAAAAGTTTGGCTGTTCAAGTCATTTTCTAAAATGAATCGAAAGAAACATTGAGGATATTAATAGTTGCTAAACAAATATGACATTGCAAAAATGCTTGTTCCTAGTATCACGCTGTTGCCACACAAGAAGATAAACTGGAAACCGTGTTTTATTGTTAGAGCAGGTCTGTCATTTGATCCTTTGCCATTTCACCAACTTCATAGATGACACCACCCGAGATAAAATGCTATGAAATTTATAAACACAGATTTCAGTCATTAAACTTATATACTAAGCTAACTTTTTTGGTGCATTTCGGACATCCAGAACGTACAATGAGTTCCGAGTGCACAGCGAACCCACAAACTATGCAAGAGTTGTGGAGTCCTGTAGCTCAGTGGTTAGAGCACTCGCTTTGCAAGCGAGAGACCTGAGTTCAATTCCAGGCAGAGGGCGAAACCTTGGGCAAGTTTCCTTACTCCACACACCTAATAATAATCCCTCCAAAACCAAAAACAATAATAAATTGGTCATTTTCAATCTACGACTGTTTGTGGGACATTGCTGTGCGCAATTGGCTGCCGCGTTCGCCCACAAATATACAGTCAATTCACTTTACAGTGTGTTCTGTGAAGCGCTTTGGGATGTCCTCCTGACATGAAAAGCGCTATATCAAATGCAAGGATTATTATTATTATTATTATATTATAAGATCAATCTCAATCTCAAAACAAGGCTTTCCGGTTCATTGCGAGTACTTAAAACAAAATTGAACCAACTTACCCAATGTCTAAATACCTCTCTTCTTACCTCCCACTCCCGGGGGAAAAAAACGTACTCACCTAATGAGAAAGAGGTCATCTTTAAGGTGTGAGGCGATATGGTATTCAATTGTGATGACTCACATTTGAGCCATTGGTAATGATTAATAGTATTGCAAACACTTCCTGGCTGACGAGTCACTATTAATCCACGCGAACTGCAATCACTTTTAGGGCAGGTCTTGCAAACTACCTTAAATTAGTCAGAACCTTATGTAGTCCACTGAAACGATGTTTAAGCTACTGAAAGCAAGCATTTATCTTGGGCTAGTGAGTGCAGAAGAGAAATTAAGCTTCAAACATGATTTTTTTTGCTTCTGATATACGTTATCAACAACAAAATTACATTTGTATAGCGCCTTTCAGACAGGGAGGATAGCCCAAGGCGCTGGGCAATCAGTGTTTGGACCCAAGCTGGGGGGGGGCAGGATCAGGGAGAGTGGAGGGCAGGTGGGGGTGGGGAAAGAGGGTGATCGAACGCAAGGTCTAAGAGGAGGGTCTTGAGAAGGGTCTTGAAGGAGGCAAGGGAGGGGGTGAGGCGGAGGAACTGCGGGTCGGAGTTCCAGAGGGTGGTTAAAGGGGGCATCAACTCATAGTTAAAAATTAGATCCCAATCAATATCTGGCTAGTCATGCGGTTGAGGGTTATAAATAGAGAGAGCGGAGACAGATGAGCTACTGTGATGACGGTGGAAATGTAATGTAATGCCTGAAGGCAACCAATCAAGGACAAAGAGTATAGCTTAAAGTTTAAATGAATATTCAGGTTTTGTTTGGGACGTCCTCCCGATGTGAAAGGGGCTCTATAAATGGAATCTTGTTGTTGTTGTTGTTTGATTAGTACCTTTGGAAGCATTCGGAAAATACACAATAGAGAATACTTGACTAACTGGTTTAATCTCTACAGTACTGTGCTTGGCTTGTGTTCCATGGCCTTTGGATAGAAATGATTTAGAAAAACATCTTAAAGATCTGACACAGAGATCTAACCTGACAAATTGCAGAGAAGGAATGGCCTTTACTTATTCCTCCTCATCTTCCTACGTCTTTTACTGATAGAAGTGATAATTTCAAATTCCTTACATTAATTATGCCACATCAAACACAAGAGTATCTTAAATTAGATTTCAGTGTAGACATCAAGTAAATATTGAGCACGGCCAAAAGCTTCAAAATAGGATTTATTCATTACAGTCGGCATTTCATTTTATAAAATATACAACGCTTTCATCATCAATCAATTTTTATACAAGTCAAAATGAAATTAAAGTAATCACCCATATATCAACACCCGTGAAAGGTAACCTAGAAGTGCACTGCAAAAGATACATTATGCAATTTCTTTATTCAATAAACACAAAAGTGCCATTTAACCAGAATAAATTCAGAGATCTTTAATTGTGATTTGGCATTTTTGCATTATATACTCGTACATACAAGAAAATTAATTTGTGAAAGGCTGAAAATATACAGTGACCTGAGTTTATTTCTAAGCAACAGAATTTACTGTTACTTTGAAATTTTCATGCAACATTAGTGCCAATAAAAAACAATGACTCCTGTAATCTATTTACCACTGATTCATACGTACTTACTGCAACCATGTCTTAATTTCCTGATAATTAGCTTGCTAATTCTAACACGCATTAATAGACGATTAACAAAGCCACTCAAAATTGTTTTTTAAATAAAGGCATTTACCCAACATTAATTACTAGAATGTAGAATACAACATGGTAAGTGTTTCAAAATGTAATTTTGAAAACTATCTCCAAAAATATTCTCAGGTCCAATTACCCAGTCCAATAAGCTTCGGTAGATATTGTGGAAGAAAATGTATACACATTGTATTTCAAAAAAGAAAAGATCATGTTCCTTTCTGTGAAAGTTAGTAATCATTTAGGCTCTTCAAAAGCAATCGCAGTCGTAGGTTCCAATGGCTGTACTCTGGAACTAGCCACTACAACTGGGCAGGGTAATATCTGCTCCAGTCTTTGCCAACCCCACTAGGAGCACTTTGCATCTACTTAAAAATTTCTCCTTTCTCCTCCGGCAAACAAAAATCGGGAACACACAAAAATCTTAAGTCAGTCATTCTTAAGATCCAGAATACCCACTGCATTACATTTGCACTTTGAAGCCTATAAAGTTTGAAAGCTGGAGCTCGGCTCACCTAGGTCTGATGCAAGGCTGCAAATCAAGATCTAGGAATGAGATGCCTTAAACAGGTTGTAATTAAAAGTACTGTTTAGGTACAGCAAGGATTATTATTATTATTAATAATAATCAGGTTGTAATTAAAAGTAGCTTGCTGTGCTTTTTCAAAACAATATTGAAGTTGTAGGACACATTCCCATTAAACAAAAGTGTTGTAACCAGCAACATAAATTTGTGTGCCGTTTGTCTCATGCCAAGTACATATGCTTTTAATGTACTTGGCTCTTTGAAAGCAAAATAAGTCCAAGCCTTTGCCACATTAGTTGTTTCCATCCACAACTGCAGCAGCTGGAGGCTACAATTAGCCTGAATGTCCCTTCTCTTAGGGATTAAGAAAAAACAAGCAACATTCTTACTCCTGATCACAATCTAACAACCCCTTCTTGAATATGTACATGCAATGCTCCCCACAAGCACTCGATTAAGTGCTTGACACTCATGAGCAGGGCTCACAAATAGGGAAAAAAAGCCACCTGGACAAATATTGGGGGTTTGGAGATATATAGTCCCTATACCGTAAGGAAAGGAGGACGGCAAGTAAACTGGGCTGGGGGAAAAAAAACCAAAATGAACAAAGTAAACGAGCAATACCAGTTTAAGATAACCATGCTCGTTTTGAAACACATTTGGACAGTAGAATGAATCGAATAATTTCAAAACAAATTTTCACGTATAAACAGCAACCACTTACAATATTCAAATCTTGTAGTCTTGAAAGACTTACCAGTTCACAACTAGCAGTGAAAGGATTTCAGTTATTGCAATAAAGAAATCAAAGTGCAACAAAAAGTGGTTTTGGTTTCTGAATCATTCCTAATTTCAATGTGGGAGGAAAAACAGACAATCATCTGGCGTACCCAAACCACCTAGAACAGCTGGTGATTGAAACTGCAGGTAAATAGATTGTAAGTATTTAAAAATGTAAATGAGACCAGCCAAAGTGGGCACACTCTAGCTGCTCTGTGACAATGGGAGTGAATGATCCTAATTTAATCAAAATAATGCTACTTAAAACAAACTTATTTAACGCATCTTTTTAATACTCAGTACAAGTTTATAGAAGATTCGTGCAGTTCTTCTAAGACAGCGAAAAGTGCATATTTATGTGCAAGGACGTTTAAGTAAATGAAAGCTCTACTTCAAACTAGTGAAATAATAGTCTACGAAGGACAACTAACATGAACTTTCAAATACAGAAAAGTCAATTAGGATGTGTTCTTACATACGTAAAACAAGGAAAAACAAGAATTTCTTTGGGGTTCTTGAGATTGGGACGGCATAATTTTAAGTGACCAGTTTTTAACATTTTAATCCATTTTTGTAACCCACATCTGTAAAACAAACGTGTTCTATTAAAAATGCAAGTACTACATTATATTATTTACAATGCATTCCTCTATTATTGTTCTGCACTACATGTCATGTCGGATAGAAAAGATACATACTATTATTCCTCCTGAAACATGAGTTGAGTGAAGTGAGTTTAAATAATACAGTTCAACAGGCTATTTAGTGGCCTGATCCTGTCTTCAGACATTCACATGCCAATAATTTCGAGTATAGGGTCAATGCATAAGTGATCACGTCATGAGGACTTTATCATGAGCAATACTATTATGAAGTTACAGCTGTTGATTGCAATGTAAAAAAGAACCTAGTCCTCTACTTGGATTCTGTTTGGAGATAAGAATACACCACGAGATTGGAGCCCTCTTCCAACAGACCAATGGCAAGCAACCAAACTCTCTCCACAACCTTAGATGGTCTGAGACTAACCTCTCCATGAATACAATACTCACTAGCTGCCTGAATACCCATAGGAACTATACAACATGTTCAACCATGTATTCCTGAGCCCTTTCCAGAGGTAATTGCCACACTCAAATATGCCGCATCAAAATTACGCAGTTCAATAGGTAGGTACCTCGTAATTTGAAATGCAACTTGCATTGTTTCCCTACTCAAGAAATTGGATGAATTTTGTAAAACCTCCATTCAAATAATAAGAAAAAGTTTTAAAGAAAATAAATTGAGATCAAATTGGGAATTATTGCAATAGGATTCAAAATAATTATAGATCAACTTATAAAGAGTTATAATTATTTTATAAAGTCAATTTAAACCATTGAATTATGTATCAAAATCTGAATTCTCGTATGATTTAAAAAATTGTCATCAGCAAATTCCAGTGATATCATCTGATAGTCATCTATTACATAAGGTGCTTAAAACAGTACATTTGGTCACCTTTTGTATTACCAATGGTATTAAAACACTACCAAAAAATTCAAGAATACATTCCTCCAAGGAGCATATGCCCAGATTTTCTTTCCAAAAAAACCTGTACATCAGTATATTTTGATGAATTTATAAACCATAAAAAACGCCTTAGTTTAATTAATAATGTGAACGTCTTCTCCCTTTACATCAGAGCAAAGCTGGTACCCACAAAATTTCTGTGTCCAGATCCAACCATTCACATGCTTTTCACCTGGAGGCAAGAAGAAAACAACGCTTCCAGCTACGAGAATATGCCAAATGCTATGGGTATAAAAGTAGTTCTCTTTAGTCTCCAGTAATGCATACACAATAATGGCAACCAATGCTGCAATTACTCCTGGCAATATAAAAAATACCCAACGCTTCCATGTTGGCGGATAGCAGTGCCGGCGCTTTACAGAACGATATACCTAAAAAGAAAAAGAAAAAATGCATTGACTGACGAGTTACTATGCAATTGTTCATACACAATAGCTGGACAAGCAGCACAAAGCTCGGCAGTCAGTGTTCACAAAGGTAAGCTGTGCTGTTAAACACAGGTGGTACCGACCACCATGTACACTTTAGGGAGAGAATGTACCCCCATCCAAATGGAAATCTTAATGCAATTGTGAAACCCTCAACAGTTTGGTTTGGTTACTCTTAAGCACGGTGATAGGTTTCCATTTGTGTCAGCCACCAACTTGGTTGCCATGGTTGTCAAATTAAGGTTTCACCCTTGAACCCACTCACGATATTCTGTACTGTAAGTTATTAAACTAAGCTCTTCGAATTTAGCCAACGCACGGGTCGTAACAATTAGTTCTGCTTGCTGACCGGCATTTGCATTGTTTTCTAAGTGGTGAAAATACAATGTTCTGCTTTTGTATGAAACATTACAGTTTAACATTGGGATTTGAGTCATTTACGGCGATTTGATACACCGTTTCCACTCACCCATGCGGTTCCCATGATAGATAGAGCAATAAGGCAAGGTGCCAACAAATTCCAAAGGCCTCGGCGATCAAGCTGCACTGACATGGCAATGAACAAGGAGCCGAGAACAAAGAGCGTCTTTAATGGTAAAAAAAAGAAAGTGTCAATTTACCATCTTAAGTAACACACAAGTATGGTATCAATGTTATTATATTAAAATTAATCTAAATTGGCCACTTATATAGGGCTGTGTTGATCTAATTATAGATTACTTTATCTTCATTTACAAAGGAATTGTTAAAATGTGTTTACATTTAACTTTTGGAAGGCCTCAAAACGGTTTCAAACAGCACCAGTGTTTCAGTTTTATTATCGCTATTTTACTTTATTTCAAAAAACAACATAAGCCTTAATACTTACATATTTAAAGATGGGCTTTAACTTCGCCATACACAGAATTGTAACCCACACAGACAGAACTGAGCCCAGGAAATCACAGTACTGAAGTGTATCATAGTCCATAATGCACATAACGGCAATTCCTGGCTGGTCACACGCATGATAAAACTGCAAAGTACATTTTAAAATGGAAACATTATTATATTTAACCTTACTACATTGACAGACGAATCCTCCTCCCTCCCTTTTATATTGACAGAGGTATCTAAACCAATTAGGGATTAGTAAAGATAAGTCAGAACAGTAATAAAGGCTATAAAATAATGAGGAATTTGAGGGTTTTTTTAAACTTACCGTTGAGAAAAACATGTTGAAGATATATACTGAAGCCTCCACAAAGTAATAGCGATGTATAGCAATTGCAATCGGTGGGAGAAACATGAGATTACTGAGGGTTAACAAGAGTGTGGCCAGCAGTTGGATTTTATAAGATTGGGCATTGGTATCATCTGTACAGCTCCATCCATCCCAGCCTACGAACATAAGAGAAGACAGTGATATTTTTGTATTAATGAGGCATATACCATAAGCAAACAGTTTCCAAACACCTTCAATCTCCCACATAATTATAGTTCAATACGCTTGAATAGTTTACGGCTAATTCAGGATAAAGAGCAAAGAACTGTTAATAATACATCAGGACCAAATGAATAGGAACTTTGAATCATTTTGTAAGTATCATCCACTTTGAGGGCTTGTTTGAATCAGACTTTAAATGCCACTCAGATTTTGTGACATTCAAAAACTAAGGCAAAATCTTGGAATTAAAATTTCTAGAATTTACATCCTTCCATTTTATCCGGCTTCTGCCCTTTTGAAAATATTATTCAAATATTTTATTGAGAGGTGTCCTGTTGGGTAACGAGCTGCTGATTTCAATATAAAATCAGAGACAATTCTCTCCACTTGTACAGTTTTACCCACCTGCTTTGCAAGAACATGCAGCGTAAAGGTATCCTTGGGCTCGCAAAAGCCTGCACTCTCCATAGGTGCCACAATCCCCGATACAAGGGCTCAGGACAGTTGATACGGTTACCAATGAGGTAACTTTTCCACATGTGTCACTGATAAAAACACAAGCAAACAAGTTAATGTTTCTATTTATTATTGTTTTCATTTCTCCTCTTTTCCAGCTAGTCATGTGATTCAATTCCCAAATGAAAAACAAGATTCATATTGTTCCTATACTTCCAAAAGAATACTCCAGGGTAATACCATGAAGCCATTTGCAAGCCTGTTCCTATTAAACTTAGCATTTACACAACAGTCAAAACTGAGAAGTTTGTTTTTCAGTTGAATCATTCAGAGACAACAATTGGTCACAATAAGAATTAGCCAAAACACAGCAGCGTGTCAGACAATCCATTCCTGTTTATTAACTCAACCCATTGTAGAAAAATCGGAATAAAGTAAAACAGCTGAGTAGATGTTGTCCACAATGAAAGGCATTATTCTTCAAATTACAATCGCAGCCATATATTTAACAGGCCAGAGTTGGAAGAAACAACCTTAGAAAGATTTTTTTCCTATATTGCAAAATGACTAACATGTATTTTAACTCATTGGACTTTGCAGTTTACCATTATTTCATATCAAAACCATGGCCTCTTAATCTTGTCAAGCTATTCTGACAAGTAACCCTAATGCGAATACAGCACTGTATTGTTAAAGGCCTTTATATTTTCCGATGATGGTGGAAGTTGTAAGAATGTAATACTTGCTGAACAAAACACGAGGTGATCATTACATGCATTATTGTAAAAACACAAAACGTGGTAGATTAAATACAGAATTCGTTACAGGAGTCAACTGGTATCTCTTAAGTTAGTTCACTGAACATTTCTAAAGTACTGTAATTTCTTTGTGATTAGCAGCATCCTCACCTTTCAGGATTTGGGCATCGGGCTTGTAAGGTGAGAAACCAACGGTCAGTCTCTGGATAGGGAACACGAAGAGCTGCTCTCCGAACTGTGGAATTCATTTTAATCAGATATCCCAGGGAAAAATCTTTTTTTTTGGAAAAACATAAGGGCATATCATACAAAGTGTCTCAAGAATTGAAGAAATACAAATCAGTAACTCTGAAAAATTCACTGGAAGAAGCTAGACTAGAGAGCCATGTCAAGCCTCACAAGATACTCTTGCTAGCTGTAATTTATTCCGCTGCTAACTTTATTAGTCCTACAACCTCAATGTCACCCCTTCCCTGGGTCTACTTAAACTTAATCTAAACTCACCACGTTTTGTTCCCAGTCATGCTAACTAAATCAAAGTTGCTACGCACCAAATATAGTTGCTGATTTTCTCAACATTAAATGGTCCTCCTAGTGACATTTAAAGGAGAAGAGTAAAATCTTAAAATACTGCAAATACTCAAAAGAAAAACACTACAATTATCTAAAAAGATAAAATGTTAAGCCTATTCTTCTGGGGCCATAGCAACTACCACAAGTACCACTTTTCATCCGAAACTGACCTTGCCCATCTCATATGGGCTGTTCTGCACTATAGTCATAAATGTTTGAAGGCTTTGAATCTTACAACATATCGATGGAATCGTCACACATATTTCTGATTTCTAAAATACGGTAAAACACTTGCGAGAGATTCAATTATCAAATTACGTAACATACAAAATATTATGCAGCTATTGCAAATTCAAGGCTGACTCATTTAGCCATGTAAGGTGCTGTAATCATTAGTGAACTATTTTGTACCTGAGTGGCAAGTCATTGAAGTGATATTTAGGGACATCGCAGGAGACCCAGCACTTAAACAGGCAAACACAGTTGCATTCTTATTGGGCAGGAAACTCTGTAAAAGAATAGATTACCAATAAATACTTCTTAGGAATGAATGGTTATCTTTTATAAACTTTCGATACTCACTGCAAAGAGGATCTAATTTAAAATAGATTTTAGTTTCAGCCACTGTTAATGGTAATGTTTTTTAGAATATCTAAACCTTCAATTGTAGACATTTTGCTGTGGGTGTCAGACATAGGCTCATACTTGAATGGATGTTTGAAATCCATTTTCTGGCATTAACTTCTCTCCATCACTCAGATGCAGGAATTATTACCAATCATTAAAACTAAATTCCACTTTCAGATCTCAGCTAAAGAATACAGATGGGTCGAAGTTGAACATACTCTCAGAATAAAGACCATCATTAATGAAATGTTTAAAGACTATCTATCGTTGACTAAATATACGAAAACCGTTCAAAGGGAAAACAATACAGCAAATTTTTCCACAATCTCTCTTATTAAACTCAGCCAAGATTTATGAAATCTGTTCTTTTTGTGACATGGGCCTTTGTGAATTTGAACAGTCTTAATTAATCTCCAATGCTTGCATTTGAACTAGAAGTTCAAAATAGGAAAGGATTATGTTTCACTGTACTAAAACCCTCAACTTATCAGAAAAAAATCTAAAAAGGTTGCATTTTAAACAAACAGAAACAAGTACAAAGGATGTATAGAAATGCATTCTAATGCTGTAAACATTTACTCAACAATGCATGGGCTTCTCGAACAAAATTTCCTTCTATGAGGCTTATCCGCAAAGGGGCCATTCCCAATTTGCAGATAATCAGCTCTCTGCTGCAGGTTGAAAATTGAAGACTAAAACACTCGAATAACAACAAGCTATACATTTCTCAGTCACAATGTAATGAAGGAGCTCCTGAAGGAAGGAATTTATAAATTGTTCTGCAAGATTGAATCAGCAATCTGGATACACTACAAATGTCACCTGAAGATGAGACACCTTGTAATAGCGTTAAGGATGAGTAAGATACAAAAACACACTTGATTACAAACATTTTATCCACTCTACCTTATTTAGAGCTAAATCGACTATGATGCTCCCGCCATTGTCCCTTCCTGTATTTAAGTTTAGAATAAGTACTGCAGGGGATTCAGAGGTGACAGTCACATTTGGTCCCAGCAGAAGAAGAAATCTCACAGAAGCGATATCCATGGCATCTCGAATGATGGGATGATTACGAAAACATGACTTCCCATTGTTCAGCAAATTAATTCCATGTTCCTTCATGCTCACTCCCTTTCCATTTAAAAATTGAGTAATATTGGCGAGCAGAGTGAAGTTATTAAGCATTGTGCGTGAGATTCCAGCAGGGGCAGGTGTGCATACTGCAAAGAGAAAGATTCACAATTTTTTGAAAAGAAAAGTAAAAGGTTCACCCAGCATGGTGATGTGAAAGGCCCTATATAAATCTAAATTGTATTGTAATATTTCACTGGTGCTCTGCATATTTCCTTATTCAAACCACAGCAGAATGACTATTGACTATTGTACAAGTAATAACTACTAAAAAGTGAAGCTCTTCAAATTAAATCAGATCAACATTCAATGCTTTCCTAAAGTACAAATATGCTATTGGTAAAGCAACTGTGTTATTTGCTAATTATCAAACAAACAAGGTGTGGGTATGCTATTACCAGATTCATCAAAGTCTGCTACAACAACGTACTTATTTAACGTCCCCCACGCAGGGTAGCATTTCAGAGTACTTAACAGTGACAGAGCCTGATTCCGAGCTGGGGAAGTTGGGAGGTGGCTATAAGCACGGTCGAAGAGGAAGGTTTTCAGGCAAGCCTTGAAAAAGGAGAGAGGGGGCAACGTAGAGGGATTGAGGGAGAGTGTTCCAGAGTTTCAGGGCGTAGTGGCTGAAAGCTCGATCTCCGATGGTGGGGCATAGGGTACGAGGAACGAGCAGGAGGCTGGTGCCAGTCGAGTGGAGGTGCTGGGTGGTGAATTGGTTGGAGAGGTAGAAAGGTGCCAAGTGAGTGAAGGGATTTGAACACGAGTGTGAGGATCTAATGGAATTTAATCCAATGGATCTGGATCCAATGCTAAAATCCTACGGACGTTAAAGTGAACGTGCTAGAATCCTATTTTTAAAACCTTCAAATCTTTAATAACAAAATAAGAATGTTTTAAAAACACTTTTTAATATGTCCTGCTTTAACACATGTTTAGTAAAGAGTGGCAAACAATTACCAATGCCTATTGTACAGAAATGTTAGGGCTAAAAAAAAATATTGTGGGAAACATACCTGTTAAGCTACTTTCAATTTCAAAAGAGGTGATTTCGTTGGCATTCCTACTTTTAACAGCAACTTGGATCCGTTTCATCCATGGCGGTGAATTCAGTACTTGAGTGCATATTTTACTTTCATTACAGTTTATAGTTACCAGATGGGAGACAGGCAATGATTCAGAACCTATCAATAAATTAACAGGGCAACCCTTTTCTGCTGGATTGTTGCTAGTGCAGTTTCTAAGCTGAATGACCAGTTGCATGGTATATTCAGGGATAAAGATTCTGAGGAAAAGCAAAAGGAGATGATGTAGCTTTGAAGTTAAGGCGTTTTGAACAGATCAACGGTTGCTAATATTGACTTACTTGAAGTGTGCAGTCATATCAGTTGGAGAAACTTTCTGCCTAAGTGGAGTTCTTGGTTGAAGTATAGGCACATTAACCAATCTTCTCACATACATCTGAGGCTGAAACAAATAGAAGCACTTGTCTACGAATCCCTGTGGGTAAAAAAGAAAAAAAAAACGTAAGCTTGATGCATTCAAATCTCATTGTTGGAATTGTCAGCATACTGTAAATGCATAAAGGAATAGAATTCTACAAATTTCAACAAAGGAGGTTAGTTGGACTAAAAGGATAGTCATTTACAAGAGTCCACTTAAATGGGTCAAATTTCCGAACAAGGTGTTCTACATTATTCAGCATTGTGTACTATACGTACCTTTAATTCAATTTTTCCAATATCTTTCGGAAGGTGTGCAGCTACATACCATTCACCCGAAATGGGGTTGGAAATATTCATAAGGGAAAGACTCTGACGAATGGACGCCAATTCCATCGTGAAGCTGTGAGCTGGAACAGCAACTGTGTTGGCTTCAAACTTTGTTTGTAAAGGATTGATTACAGGAGGGGCTCCTGCCCGAATGTGGCTGTTTTTGGTTTTCAAAAAAAGTATTAGTATATCAGAAAGAATCAACATACAAACATTAGCACGAGAGCTGACTGTATTTGCCAGCATGCTTTGATAAATTATGAACTAATTTGGAAAGAACATGTAAATTCTACCACACATTTCAGGGTTGATAGAATTAAAAACAATTGAAAACTTTAATGGTAAACTTTGAAGGGGCTAGACAACAACAATGATCGAGAGGTGCGAGTGAAATGGTAAATACTGTCCTGCAATAGTTTGGTCAACAAACAAATTTCGAGCAAGAAGTTTAAACGTTGGTCACACAATGGATTTTTGAAATCCACTGAATTTAATGCAATGCTATACTTTAAAAGGTGCAATGGAATACTACAGCTGTAGTATATACTACTATAGCACAAATTGTGACCTTGTGTAGTTATGTTCAAAACAATTATATTCATTTATTCTGTGAAGTACAGTATATGTAGGATGCAGGGTTATAAATCCTACTGAAATACATGGTATTTGATTTTATCCACCACTAAAAATGTTCAAAGCAAAACTAAAGCTTATACTTAACAGTTGCATATGTATATAGTGATCCATTAACATTTGACACAAATCGCAGACAGCCATACAATATCAAATTAAATTTAGCGCAAATGGTTTCCTTACAGAGGATTTTAAAACCTCTTGGCTGTACTTAATGCCCCTCTATGCTTTGAAAACATTCACATTAGTAAAGTTCACATACACAGTAATGTTAACATCGTGGCACAGTTGTCCCGATCCTTTAGCTGCCATCAAAAGCAACCGCATCAGCACAGTGTCTTCAGGTACTCGGAAAAGGAAGAGACGCACATTTCCATACCAGCTATACAAGGAGAGTTTTTGAGGAGTTTGAGTGTAAATTTCAGATGCATAGGATGAATCTGATAAAAACAAAACAGATTATATAAAACATACATAAAATCTGAACTCTTTTCAATATTAGAACTTTTTAAATGCACAATGTCACAATCTGAGCTTGCATTGTTGAAATGGAAGCAAGCAATATTTTTACGGGTGGGGAAGCAGAGCTGAGGATTTTTCTTTAATATTTCACCATGTGCTGGTCGGCCTACTATTGTGGATGATTGACTTGTTTGATTGACATAGGTCATTGCATTTACCAAATACAATCAGCAGAATATGGTATTAATACTCTTCCAGCACAGATCTGCTAAAAATACAGCTCTATACATTCACAATTTTTGCCCTATGGGTGTCAAAACCATCCCATTTAAAGTGCAGGAAGCCTCCACCCACAGGAGGGTTAGGAAATAGTGGTAAATATCTTTAAACTATTGGGTAACTAACTCCCTCTCACTTGCTGGAATTACATTTCGACATTGCAGGGTCATGCAAATGCAAGGATGATGATGATGATGATTCAGCTCACTTGATCTTGTCCTTCCAGAATATCCACTCTACCGTCTTATCAGCGCAGCATCAAGCTGTTTTCTTAAATAAGTCCAGTGTCCTGGGGTGAACCACTGTTCCTAACAACCTGTTCCATTCATTCCCCCAAAAAATAGTCACTCCACTTCACAGTATATTTTTGAAGCACTTGGGAGATATTCTCCCGACATGAAAGGTGCTATATATTTTATTCAATTCAGATGTAAGGTGCTATATCAAATATAAGGATTATTAATTATTATTATTACAATAATTGCCCTCTGCGTAAAGAAAAACTTCCTGGTATCTGTCTTAACAGACCTTAACAGCGTGAAGGCCAGAATATAAATGCAAGTTGTTGTTGTTGTTGAAATTGCCTTACATCCTACATTCTAAAGTATTAATCTAAGCTTAGTTTTTCAAACACATTTAAATTTTATACACCTCTTATAACGTTTCCTCTGAGATGTCTACTGTCAAGAATCAAGAGTCCAAGCAATTCACCAGCTTTTAACACATTTTCATTCTCTGTTGATTTACGACTGATCTTCAAAACCGTCTAAATTCTAATTTAATGAAAAAAGTAGTTCAGTTTGTAAATGCAGACAGACGTCCTCTTAATGTAACTTTTCCCTAGATAGTCCCAGGGATTCGCTCTAGACTCAGATGCTTGAATTAATTCCAAAATCTCCGTTAACTTAACCACGCTTTGCCAATTCCTAGCAGAATCAAAGGAATAATTAAGACAGTCAGCACACAGCAGTCTGCTTCCATGCCAACATGATTTTTTTAAAAAAATACTCACTATTGCAGACAACCATCAATATACCCTATGGATGTGCCAATAAATGTACGGAAGGCTGTACCAGCTGGAGATACTACAAAACATTCTCTGGAAGATGTAGTGAGAAACAAAGTGAAATTCTCACTTCAGACATGAAATGCTGGAGGTAGCCAGCCTTCATAAGTTGTATAATTTATTCATCATGATTTTTAAATGAATTAATTCAGAACACAGTCAGTCTCTTTGGCCAACAGGAGTGCAAAAGCATCCTCAGATGAGGTACCTGCACTCCAATTCTTTTCACCAACAGAAAAAAGGATAAGGCTGTCAGAGCAATAAAACAAACTTTTCCTGTATTTTCTGTGCAAATAGGAAAACATTGTCAGCATCTGAACAGTAATGCAAGGAAAGAGCAATAGGAAAGCAATGGAAAACCTTGACATAAACATGTGCAAGTTTAGAATGCGCCTCTCTGGCCCATTGCATTTAATAACACTAACCCAAATTATGTACAACAATTATTGCAAATTTTCCAATAATGTGAGGAATAGCTGAACTCAAAGAATAAATCTGAATGATCTGAATTATGTTTCTCTGAATTAGTTACAAAGCAAAAACTGAATTGAAACCATTAAATTGTACTACCATTGTGGTCAAATCTCTTCTTCATTACAGCCAAAGGCAAGACCCAGTTTGATTACTGGGAAAGAAACAACAGCAAAAACAACAATAAAATTACATGTGCCTTTCACGTCGGGAGGCCACCATCATGTGCAGCAATCAGTATCTTTTAATTAACATATCTGCTTTTTAAAGTAACATTTTACAATAATTCTTGCGTCTGATATAGCTCATTACCACATTGATGAAACATCTCAAAACGCTTCATAGGATTTACTGTAAAGTACAGTGACAGAACAGCCAATTTGTACACAGCAATGTCCCACCGACAGCCAAGCCATTTCAGTAAATTCCNTTTTTTTTATTAACGCGCAGTAAAGTTGGCCGGGTAGGTCACCCGGAAGTGTCCTTGTAATGTTACACTCATTGTAACGTCAGCACCTGACAACTGGTCAACTGGGGCTGTTGCATCAGTAAAGTACGGTTGTGTGACCTCACACAAGATGAGAAGAATGCAATCTGGAACAAGGTGAGGAGTACAGAATGGTAGAGAGAGAAAGAGCGAGAGAGAGAGAGAGAGAGAAACTGCAATATCCTATAACTGGGAAACAAATCGCGTTTCTCCCCCACACCCCATCACCACCCACTATTGCACTTTTCAAAAAATAATAATAATGCAGTCACTCAATCCACGGCTGGTCGCGGGGCATTTGCTGTGCGTGGCGCAATTGCTGTCGGGTTTTCGCCCTCAAAACACACAGTCGATTCACTTTACTGTATGTATATATCTCTGCAAAGCGCGTGGAGACGTCTCGAAGACGTGATAAGGTGCGATATCAAATGCAAGGATTATTAGTGGAAGTATGATGATGACGTATATGATTTCTGACGCTCCACATAAATAAAGGAATACTTCCTTTGATTTCCTCCTCTCAAAGTGTTGTTGTGCAACCAAAGCAGCGGGTAAAATCCCTACCTGTGTGCGTGCACACATGCTGTGAGTGTACAAGTGGAGCGCATTTACATGCGGAGCGCGTGTACATGCGCTGTGTGTGTACACGTGGAGTGCTCGCACATGTGGAGCGCGTGTACATGCGCTGTGTGTGTACATGCGCTGTGTGTGTACATGCGGAGCGCGTGTACATGAGGACCGCGTGTACATGCGCTTTGCGTGTACATGAGGACCGCGTGTACATGAGCAGCGCGTGTACATGCGCTGTGCGTGTACACGAGGAGCCCGCGCACATGCGGAGCGCGTGTACAGGCGCCGCGTGTGTGTGTGTGTGTGTGTACACGCGCTGTGCACACGCGTGCGCGGGTGTGTGAAGTCCCCATCTTAATTTTTCTAAAAAAAAAGAACCACACAGGAAGCAAACCACCACCAGCGCCACCAGCACCACGTGACTCTCAGCTCGAGTGCTGGCAGCAGCAGCAGCCGCCGCCGCCGACAGCGCCCACAACAAACATGGCGGACGCTAGGACCCGGGGGGGTCCGCCCGCGACCCGCCTGTCTGCGCGGCGCTCGCTCTCACTCACTCAACTCAACTCACTCACTTACCGGCCGCTCGAGCCCAACCGCTCTCCGAGGAAAGGACGAGAAAAGTTAAGAGCAGCAGCAGCCGCCGCCGCCGCCCCGGTCCCGGCAGCACCATCGCTTGGGAGGGTGGGTTAGGGGTTGATGGGGTTAGAGGTGGTGGTGGTTGAGGAGGGGGTAGAAGGAAGGAGGGGGCAGGGGGGCCCTTGTCTTTGCCCCACTCACTCACTCACTCACTCACTCGGTCTGGAGGTTCCTCCCCCCTTTCACCTTCACCTCAGCGCATCTCGCGTTCGCCGCCCCACATTCCCGACGCTTCTCTCTCTCTCTCTCACACACTCTCTCGCGGCTTCTTCGCAACCGCCACTTCCCCGGCTCCGCCCCCCCCTCCCCCGGCTCCGCCCACCCCCTCCCCCGGCTCCGCCCACCCCCTCCCCCGGCTCCGCCCACCCCCTCCCTCCCTCCCTCCCAACACAGCGTCGCACGTACGCGCGTCATGACGTCGCTCAGGACGCCGGATTGGGCGGGTTTCACGCCCAATCGGGCGGGTTGGTTGGTTTGTGTGTGTGTGGGGCTTGGATTCACGTTTTATTTTTTGGGGTTTAAAAAGATATTTAAACACCCAAAACTTTTTTTTTCTTCTTCTTCTTCTTCTTCCCGCGCACAAGCAACTGATACGGTTCCAAAAAAGCACTGCATCCTAAATTGGGACCTTCTGCTATATATATATATATATATATAGAGCAGCCTATATAATATTGGGCTACTTTTGGGCTACTACTTGGTTGGCTTTGCTCTGTAACACACAGTATGTTTTTAAATTCTCCTCTTTTTTTTTAAAAAAAAACTTGCACTTAACGACTGGCATCTTCGTTGTCCCGCGAGGAGCCGCGGAGCGAGCGAGCGAGCGAGCGACCGACCTCACTCGGTGTTTCTCGGTCACGGCCGGGTTTTCGCTCACCCAATACGCAGCCGATCCACTTTACGGGGATTATCCCGCGAAGCGCCGGTGAGGACGTCCTTCCCGACGCGATGAGGCACCACGTCCCGCGATTCACCTGGCATTCCGTGCAGCGCCTTGCACCGCCTGATTGGGACGTCTCAAAGCGTGTTTTTTTTAAAAAAAACACACATATAATAATAATAATAATAATAATAATAATCCTTGCATTTGATATAGCGCTTTTCACGTCAGGAGGACGTCCCAAAGCGCTTCACAGAACACACTGTAAAGTGAATTGACTGTATATTTGCGGGCGAACGCGGCAGCCAATTGCGCACAGCAATGTATATATATACGGTATATATATATACCGTAAAGGATTCACTGTGTATTTCGTGGCAAAATGTAGTTATTGCAATCGTTATTGGCAAAGATACCGAGAGAAGAGAAAGTTAATCAAGAAGGCCCCCAAGACCCAGCGTATCCATTCCAAGAACTATTTTCACCCACTCACTCAATTTATTATCATTATATTCCAAATACTTTGTAACTTGCTTTGAGACATTTAGCGACAAAACCATGTCTTTATCACTTCCAACAGACTTGATTTCTCCAATAATTTATTTCTCTTATTGGGTTCGTTCCTTTATTCAATTGATAGTATCCTTTAATTATCAACATGCAACTAACGTCATCCATGCTGATTTTGACGTACAAATTTGCAAATGCTAATCCAAGTTTCTGAGAGGATCATATTTCAGGAAGAATTCAGGGTTCTGTTTCAGCGAAGGTGAAAAGTACTGTGGATTCAATATTCTCCAATTGCAAAGACCAATTGCGCAAAAAAAGGCAAACATTTCAAGTGCTATGGTGCAATGTAATAGTTGCAAAGCCCGCAAAATTGCAATTGTCTTGAGAAATGGTGTGCTACTGCCAGGTGGAAATGTTATTTTCCTGCACACATATAGTGTTTTACAAATACATATCCTATCAACAGAATTCAACAAGCAATGAAAAACGAGAGTATTATCAGGTTAATCTGGTGTTGGATAAATATCGCAACAAACTCTGTGTACTTTTCATGCACTCATTGTATTTTCTTTGTTTTTAACCTAACTGAAATAAAAATACTGAACATATACATAGAATAGGTTACAAAGATGTACCGTATATTGTATATTGACTGTTCATCCACCAGATGGCAAAATACATCTGATTTTCAGATCAAACTGACAAGGCCTTGACATCGCATTAAGTATTTACACTATAATAAGAGCAGGAAGTAAATTTAAGCATATAATATTTTCAATCTGTATCTACTTTTTTTTCTAAAATGTACCGATGAATATGTTTGAAATGTTTACGATACGGATAATTGAATAGTTCTTCTGCCACATTCTACAGCTTCATGACACAGTGTGCAGTGGCTGTCAGAATGCCATCGGTCATAGCTCGTCATGGACTAAATTTTCCAGCTAAATTTTCCACTGGGGACATTGTTAGCATCAACTCCCTGCAGCCTGGGGATACCAGAGTTCTCCTAAAACTTCCACAGCATTTTGAATTTACAGAATTCGGATTGTGATTCAGAATTCACATTGCGCAGAAGTATTCTACTTTCCATTCACTGAAAGGAAAACATTGGACAGGGGCTGACTGCAAAATTAAAATGTTTTAAATGTAGGAAGACATAGATCTTATCTCGGCTCCTGTCCCACACACAAGCATTTGAAACTGCTTTTCTTACAAATGAATATGAGCTCTCGTATGGATTTCACAAGAAATCGTTAACACTGCTCTCTCTTGTTTGCGACTACAGAGCTCCATCTCGTTTTCCTCCCTCCTCTGTCTCTGCATAATGTTTAGCTTAACCTTCTGCTGTGCTTACTCGTAGGTTTCCATAACAGTGTGTTCAGTCCCCCAACGTCACCGTTTTATTTTGCTTTTGGATTGCATTCTTTTGTATTGCAATAAATTGGGACGGGTTTAAGCAAGAATTATGATAGCAAGAATCAGGATAGAATAACCTTCAATCACACCCTTGTTTCTGTTGGGACTTAATCCAGCATTTAATGTAGTACAGGTGAGTGGAGGTACAGTTTGTGGAATAAAACTGTATGGGAATCCACTCCACTGAATCGCATGATCTCAAATGCAGCCCAATGGCCTGAGCTGTGGTCACATAGCAACTAATTGAGGGTGAATGTTGGGGAGCAGTTCACTGGCTTGCAGTTCATAGCCGCAGTCGGTGCATTTCCCCAGGGAAACACAGGGCCAAGAAAAGAGACAGACACTTTACCCCTCCACCCCCCCCCCCCCCACCCCCCAGCCAAAAAAAAGTGCATCTTTAGAATTCATATATTTGAATGGAGAAATAACAGCAAATACATGGAAGGCAGTGCTGTGAAGATATGAATGAAGCCTACGCCCGGGCTGAGAAGGGTTTCAGAATATGGTTTCTTTAAACAAAGACGAAGGTTTACGCTATAATCTGATGCAAAGATAAGACATGGAGCTCAAATGTCTCATTTTGTTATAAATACCAGGCATTTAAGAGCACATCCAGGACAGCATCTGCTAGGACATATGCTCCAGCAAGTACATACTACACTATTGGATCATTAGAGGCTTTATAGTCAGCAGATGGTCAAATATTCTGTCAATGAATACACCTATATTTGAAGCAAGATACTTGAATGAAACAAAGTGAGATTTTAAATCATAAATGCAAACTGAGCTGCACAAAATGAAGGTTGAATCATCAAAAGGGTGAATGATTTGTACCTCTTCAAGGAAAAATAATGGGATTTATTCCTGTGGAAAAATATATATTTTTAATAGAATCGGCTACAAAACATAATCCCATTAACAATACAAAAAATGAGAAAGACAATTTTTGAACTAGGTAACTAGATGTGCAGTTATGCACCGGGGTTAATATAGAGGCAATATTGTGCTTGAACTTTTAAATATGTATACATATCAAATTATTGTAGGTAAGGCTTTGCTACGTGGGTTAGTGGTATCATAGAATTATACAGGACAGAAGGAGGCCATTCGGCCCATCGTGTCTGTGCTGGCTCTTTGAAAAGAGCTTCCAAATCAAACCCACTCTCTCCCCATAGCCCTGCAAACACGTCCTCCCCAATGGTATAATATCAGCACATTCCAATAGGGTGTCTGGGTTGCTTTACCTGTAGTTCTCAAACATTGTCTCTTTCAATGTAATTAACTAACCACGTCTAATGGAATGAGAGATCCTCTATAGGAAACCCGTGACCCGAACTGAATCAATCAAAAATGGATTAGTGTTTACAAAGAGCAAGTATACCGAATGATGAATATCCGTCAGAACCACGCAAACTAAACCCAACCGTTTTGTAACAAATGGAAAAATCTGTCTCCCGTGAGACATACATTGAGATATTCAAATATAGTTACATTTAACCAATTAGTAGTTATATCACAATTGATGCTATTTCCTTCAGATGAGATGTTAGACCGAGGTCCCACCTGCCTGTTCAGGTGGACATTAAAGATCAGCCGGCACTATTCATAAAGAGAGGGGCTTTTCTCCACCTGTCTTGGCCAACAACCCCCCAGAAAAAAAATGGCCATTCACTTCATGGCTGTTTGTGGGACATTGCTGTGCCACGTGTGCCTACAAATAGATTTATTAGCATAACAGAGCTAAATGGATTTATTTATCTGATGATAAAATGGGAAGCAACCCATATAGAAATAATATCAGATATTGATAGATGATCGAAATGTAATTTAAGGTCTACAAACATACATTACGTAAAGTTAAATACTCTCTTTAGCCTAAATATCTAATAGGATATATTGCTATGGAACGAACGCTTCAGACTATGACGCAACTTACAAGATACGCAAAATTGACCGAGGAGTCAATAAACCTGAATCTACATTAAACTCTCAACTCTAACACATGCCACCAGTTCCTGTGGAACCTATCCAATGTCACTGGAGGAATATCTGGTTAAACGTGACCATGCCAACACAACCAACCAACTAACCGCTGGTTAGGCGGCTGATGGAGACTGGACAGAAACACTGTTGTCGTTATTTTCTTGTGGGTTTCAATCTCAATGTCATGCCTGAGCGGAATTTGACGGAATGTATCCTATATAGTTTTAAAATAACAATCCTTGCATTTGATAAAGCGCCTTTAACGACATAATATCTCAAAGAGCTTCACAGTAATGTTGGCTACGTGTAGTGACTGTGTATTCGTAGTCAATTTGTGCATAGCAGTGTCCTACAAACAGCGTTGAGTTGAATGATTGCTGTCCTGGACAAAAATGTCTCTACCAGAAAGTGTCAAATTTCACTGATGAAGCACAAAAGCAAACTACTAAACAAAATTGCTGTCTCCCGATTCACCCCTGTGTATTTATTATTCCATCAATGTTTGAGGATTGAGCAAAATTCAATGCAAGTAGTTTCTACAGAACAGTGGTTAAGTAACAGAAGCTAAAATCGTTAGCTTCGGTGGAAACGAAACAAAACTGTTTTTGAAATGATTTAAACAATTGTAATAATCCTTTCATTTGACATAAAGCAGCACTTTCACTTTGGGAGACCATCTCAAAGCACTTCACAGAATATATGTAAAGTATTGTGACTGTATTTTGTAGGCTAATTGACATTATTTGTATTTTTACATATAATTTAGGTGATATTAGACTGTCAAATACCACTTAACAAAAAGGTAGGATTGTTCCAATCAATGTACGACCGTAAAAAATATATTAAAAAAAGAAATACATTGGACAAACATTCTATGTTTCAAACTCAAAGTGCGATCAGCTTTGCACTGAGAAAATCCCCAAAGTTACTACAATAAAAAACACGTATCAGAAACTGGTAACAGAATTTCTTCTGCATCTGATAGAATTTCCACCCAGCTTTAATGCAAATGAAATCTTATAGTGGTTTGATTGCATTGTAATAAAAGTATTCAGCTCTACTACACTCGAGAACTGGGGATATCACTTGTTCCACAATACCGTCCTTCTGGTAGGTCAGTTTGTTTTCAGTTCCTCCAGTATAGTATTGGTAGTCAATTATTATTTAAGTTATACGTTTATGTTACATATAATGTCAACTGAAAACGTTTAATTTGTTTTCCATTGAACCTAACTGATTCAAGTTGATGTTACACGTCTGTTGTTAATAGTTTGTTCTGCAAAAACTATTTCCATTTAATTTTGCTCCCTGTGTCTTATTAATCAACAAGCCCACAAAATATACAGTCAATTCACTACACAGTATATTCTGTGAAGCGCTTTGAGACGTCTCAAGGACATGATAAAGTTCTATATCAAATGCAAGGATTATTATTATATTATAACTTGTCAATTACGCTGAACTGTGAATGAAAGAAACACCAATAGAGCAGAAAAAAAAAAAAGTTTATATACACAACTTTATCGAACAGTAATCGTTAGCTAATCTCTAACTTAAAAAAAGCTTATATTTACCACGGAATTTCACACAGGAAAAGTGTTGAAGGTGCAAAATGCATTGTGGCGTATTTATATTTAATTACATTGAAGATTTGTTTTGATATTAACACACACAATTCTCCTGGATGAGATTGCAAAGCATTTGATCATGTGAATGCTTTAAAAAATTATTGCCGCCCATCCTCTTTAAACACCGATCGTGTGACAATTAGGTTCTTTAAATGTGCCTACTCAACAAGTCAAAATAGCGTGAAATTCAATTTTACGCCTATTTGACTCAGCCTGATTCGGACTCAAATCAGAAGAGTTGATAAAGGCCCTTTGGCCAAGTGTGCAGGCCAGTTTTGCATCTGTGACATAGAGATTTAATAGCTGAATTTACAGGAACAGCACTTGAGAATTCCCTGGCAAGCAGGCCATTAAGCTAAAGCCTGTCTTCCGCCCCTCTGATTCCCTTTCTTCAACACTCTCTGGTTGCTGGGTGCTAAAACAAACCAAAGCTCTATTTACAAAGTCTATTACAATACTCCCACCAAATATTTGTCAAAAGTCAGTCCACGCAAAACTATAAATGCATTAATCACAGGTGTGGAACTGCTATTGTAAGATAGCTTTTAGTGTGTTTCTCCAGTCGGAGGAGGATATAATCCAGGTAAGAGCTTTGGAACAACTACCACTTTTTATTTTTGCATTTTTTTTTTAGAAAAGGTTCAATCCTGAACCACAAAAAGTAAAGTAAAGCTATCAGCAAACATGAAGATTCAAGGATCGACAGCAACATGAACTGGGGTTTTGGAAAAAAAGTGAATTCAATGAACAGTTCCTAAGAAAATAGGAAATCTGTGGGAAATGGGCGTACATTACAAATGATGGTTTAGAAATAAGATGAAAATCCTTGATTGTTTAATGCGCGTGGATTTAATTTAAAAGAAAAAATGCAGGTGTAAATTGAAGCTCATATAAAAGATTTAGGAATTTATGCCTGGCTTAGTGCGTAGGAAATTATTACTTTCATACATGTAAAATGTTTTGATATTTAAGTAGCGCAAATGCTTCTAATCAAAACGCAGTAGTAACTATTTTATTGTACCAATTACCAGATTAATGATTCAACTTTGGTTGATAATCAACTATTCTGTGCTCAGACAAGGCTTCGACTTGCGGACTATTTAAATTTTGCCCTTAATACCTGACTGATGAGCTGATCTGCCCTGCGCTGTGAAGCATTTACAGTTCTGTGTGTCGTTTTCAAATTGTGTTCAGGGCCTGATACAAGCAAGAAGCCGAAGTGAAATAACAAAACCATGGCAGCAGGTGTGATCAAGAACATGTCAGATTTTAGACTAGTGCCTACTTTTCAGCTTCCTTTTCTAAATCTCAGTGCTCAAGACATGGATTTTCAGGAGACATCCGAAGAAGAGGAAGACATAGAAGATGAGAGCGGCGAGAGGGACATCAATAAATGCCCCGAAAGTGAGCACTGGGACCCCAGGTCCCAGCCGTTCACCACCGTGACAAGTAGCACAGAGATGACATTGCAGCTCCTGAATTTCACCGAGTTAATCAATAGCGACATTCAGAAGTACTTTGGCAGAAAAGCCAAGGAAGATGATCCTGACGCCTGCAATATTTACGAAGACAGATTTTCTGCTGGGAAATCAGGCAGGGAGCTGTACTACGCAGATTTAATAAGAATTGCACAGAACGGAGATCTGGAAGAGGACGACTCCCACGTGCCCTTAACACCTCCCAGAGAAATAGATACACAGACGTTGAAATTGCTCTGCGATAGAGAAAGCATTCAGAAACTGGGACCCCTTGGAGAACTGTTTGAATACGGTTTACGCAAATACATGAAACAGGCGATTTTGAGCAGGAGGAGGGATGGCAAAAGACAAAAGCTCGATCGGAAATACGCCAACATAATCCCGATGCACAAGCGCAGGCTTCCATCATCCTTTTGGAGAGAGCCCATCTCTCCCACCACGTCTGTCTGCATCCTCCACACCAGCACCCCTGACTTCAGTGACCTTTTGGCAAATTGGACTTCAGAATCAAATGGACAAGACCTCCAAGTTACCAGAGAGATCGCAAGTGAAATGAACGGACAGTCACTGGAGTTGGAATCTTATCAGGTGATATAAGGCAAAGTGCAGAATTTCTCAGCAAATGTGTTTTTTTTTTTAGTCCTTGTGCTTTGCACTCTTTTACAGGGTAATGTATATAGCATATGACCGTTCCAAATAAAGTTGTGCAAAACGATTGTAGTTTATGAGGATTTTATCAAATGCATGGTTCAACATCCATTGTTTCAGAGGTTTGGGATAATAACATGTTTCTGAATTCACCTGAATCAAGTTTTCTTTTAAAAATTGTTTAGCTGTATTTTCTCCCAAGACTAGTTATTTATCACCTGTTTATCAATACAAATTTTGCTGCACATTTTTCACATCATATCCTGTGAAATGTCTGGCGATGCAAGTGTTGATGTTATTTTTATGTTACTGAAAAATAAATACATGTTGTAATTAAGTTTTTTTAAATACAATCATATGAAGAAATTTTGGTGAATGGTCTTCAGTTTGTACTTGTGAATGTGATGGTTCTTAATCCGTTGATTTTGTGATTTATTTCAATGGGTGTCTCCTTTTTAAAAAATGATTATGGAATACTAATAATTAAACAGAATCTGTCAAAGTTTAATTAAGAATAACAAGGGAATCGTGCAGCTTCTTTTGCTGTTAAATTTACATTTTACTTTAATATTTAATTGCCAAAGTCAAGGTTTTTTTGCTTTAATCAGTAAAGCTGTAGTAATGTTGTAACATTATTGTTGACTGTAATCAGTATTAATGATTGCTTGTACTATACAAATCATGTTTTTTTTATTAACTGTATTGTAATTGTAAATTGAGAAACTTGCATAAATTTAGTTCTGCAATAATCAATGCTTTCCATTAATGAAGCTGTGGTTACTTTATGTATTTTATTAAGCACTTGAAATCCTTTAGGTAAAATACCAATTTGGTATATTTAGTCACAACTTGAATTTCTGATAAAACACACGAGCTAAAACACAATGGCTGTTTGTCTGGTAGGCAGCAGAAGATTATTTATTTAAATGATAAGAAACTTCTTAATCTTTAGCGCAAACCTTTCAATTGTGAAGCAGGAAAGACATGATAATGACACAGATTACTTGAACAGTTTTTTGTTTATCCTACATTATTTATACATCTTCTTTCTTCATTGTCTCAAATGCTTAATAAACTCCGAGCTGGAAATGACAAAAGATTTCACAAGGGTTAACGTGTCATTTCTATCTTTAATCTAAGAACATCTGTGTGTTTTCATGCAGATCATGAGTGATTTCTGAAGTGTATTTGATTCAGAGCACTCAAATACCATTGAGGAAGTACATGCACTTTTCTAATCCATTCCTATTGGTATAAACAGCTATTGTAATCATTGTATTTTGATGATATGACATTTTTACTAATATACCAGTTGAATCAGTCGTCAAACTACTATACAATAATAGTAATCCTTACATATGACATTGTGCGTTTCATGTCAGGAGGCTATCTTCACAGGATTTACTGTGTATTTTACATTGGAATAAACTACAGTAGTAGCACACAGTGCATTTCATACACATATGCCACAAAATTGGGGGGTTGTACATCAGTTTGATTCCCCTCTCTTCACTGAGTACAAGATTTTAACTGAACTTTAGTGGACACACGATCATGTATTTACACCATTTAATAATAATAATAATAATCCTTGCATTTGATATAGCGCTTTTCACGTCGGGAGGACGTCCCAAAGCGCTTCACAGAACACACTGTAAAGTGAATTGACTGTATATTTGTGGGCGAACGCGGCAGCCAATTGCGCACAGCAATGTCCCACAAACAGTCGTAGATTGAAAATGACCAATTTAATTATTGTTTTTGGTTTTTTTTTTTGGAGGGATTATTATTAGGCGTGTGGAGTAAGGAAACTTGCCCAAGGTTTCGCCCTCTGCCTGGAATTGAACTCAGGTCTCTCACTTGCAAAGCGAGTGCTCTAACCACTGAGCTACAGGACTTTCTGTTTATAGGGCGTTCAGAGTGACCCGAAGAGATTATCCGTACCTTGTTAAACAAGGAATGGTACATGGCTAGAAAAGGCAGAGGCTAGAAAAACAAAGGCAGAAATTGACATTTAAAATTGTAGTTAATACTTAAAATGAGAGTTGTGCAAATCCCAGTAAAGCTAAGTTCTTAAAGCATCACCTTTCCAGTCACCCAGAAGTTTGCAAAGAAATAATCTGCGCCGTAAAAAGCAGAGTACATAAGTGAATAGACTGTGCAAGAGAGCAGACAGAAACAGCCGTCCTAACTAAAAGCTCTGGACACCCCTGGATGGCTCAGTAAATGTACTGTGTGGTCTGGCACGGAGCCACGGACACCAGAACGGTGCCAGGCAACAACGTACAGTGTAGGATGTATGGTTAGTTAGGTATTCTGTCTGGAGTTTTGCGTCAAATTAACTACAGTAGCATTTGGGAAGAAAACAACCAGCAAAGGTTTCTGAACCTGGCTGCTGTCCAGTGACTCATGCTCAGGCACACATGCCAGGTGAAGAACGTGGAGTTCTGCAGCAGATTGGTGAAGAGCATTCGCCTCGCAAGCGAGAGGACCTGGGTTTGATCAGTGCGCGGGGCGAAAAGTTAGGCAAGTTTCCTTACGCCCCACGCTTCTGTTTACCTAGCGGTAAGTAGGAACCCGGTTGTTAGTCAAGTGGCGGATCACTTTTCCCGTGGTAAAGATCCCTTCAAAAAATGATTTTTAAATAATAATTTAGTCACTCAATCTGCGACTGTTTGTGGGACGCTGCTGTGCGCAATTGACTGCCGCGTTTCACCCACAAAATATACAGTCAATTCACTTTACGGTATATTCTGTGAAACGCTTTGAGACGTCTCAAAGACTTGATAAGGTGCTCTATCAAATGCAAGGATTAATATTATTATTATTATTATTAAGACAGGATCTGGCTAAACTGTGAAAATCCCCATGATCAACACTCGCTGCTCAGATTCATGCAACAACAGCAACTTGCGTTTGTAAAGTGCCCTTCAGGTAGGATCACATTCAGAACGCTTCACAAAGACGGGGTCAGGGGCCGGGAGCGAGAAAAGAGAAGGGTGAAGAGATCGTAGGCATATTCAAAGAGGTAGGTTTTTAGGCAGGATTTGAAGACGGGGTCCAGAGAAAGATTACAAATAGGCCACTCAACCCAACCAGTTCTTGCCAGAAGGATAGAGGGAGAGAGATCTAGAGAGAGAGAGAAAGAGAGAGAGGTTGGAAGTTCCAGAGGGCTCGCATGGTGGATACGGGGGGAGGAGAGAGAGAGGTGGGAGGGGGAGGCTTAAGGGGAAAGGGAAGGCAACACATAATAATAATAATAATAATAATAATAATAATAATAATAATAATAATAATAATCCTTGCATTTGATAATAGCGCTTTTCACGTCGGGAGGATGTCCCAAAGCGCTTCACAGAATATACTGTAAAGTGAATTGACTGTATATTTGTGGGCGAACGCGGCAGCCAATTGTGCACAGCGATGTCCCACAAACAGTCGTGGATTGAAAATGACCAATTTATTATTGTTTTTGGTTTTGGAGGGATTATGAGAGAGGCTGTTCCGCTCACCTTCTCACTTGTCCAAACTATCAAATATATCTCTGAAGCAAACAAACAAACCAAATACATTTCTCCCAGAGCATGTCTCTCTTTAAGTCCTATTTTTACAGGGCAAAATAATTTATCTGGTCCTTAATTCTCTGTCTACCGGCTCACATAGATTTTTTTTTTTTTTTAAATTTCCATTTCTCAGTTACAATTTCATTTGAATCTTCAAAATCATCATTATTATTTTTTCGGCTTACCGTTCAAGTTCTTTCCCCACCTTCCTCAGCCTCCGAGGTCTTACCTTCTTAGCTTTCTCCTTTTTTGACTGTAGAGATGCGCTTTCAAATGATTTTGAAAATTCTAGTTTCCTTCTGGTGAAGAGTTCCGTTTCCCGGTTAATCTTCCTTGGAGCTCTCTCTTCATTGCTAAAACGTTTGCTCTTCCGAAGTCTTGCACAACCATATTGTTATTTTTGGCCTTAGCCTTAATTACAAAATCAAACCAAATGATACAATAATCACTAGACCTCAAGTGTTTACCTACTTCCTGGCTACCAATCAATTCTGGTAGATTACTGAATAGTAAATCTAACACAGCATCTGCGTTAGTATCCTGCTTCACGTGGGTTAAGACACAGAAACTAATCACAACCTTGAAAGAGTTGTTGCTGTACTCTTCATTGTCCAATTACGCTGTAGGTTTATGGAGCCAATTTTCTAGGATCTGAATGGATATGATATACAGGCTTCAAAAGTAAAGACTGATTTGAAGAATTAATGTGAACACACCTGATTTACCTATAACACGCTGCTTCTATCCAAACCTTATCTGTAAGACATTTCTTTTAATCCCGTACAATCTTAAATATGAGGGTGTTGGATTGTGTAAAAATGTTCAATTCTGCCTGTAAACTAGGTTTCGAAGCAGTCCCAAATACACACTAAAATGAAAAACATCTCGCTTGAAAGGTGCCACCCTGTCCAAAATCAGACACACCGAAACATCTGGCAGCCACACCTTTATAGAAACAGCAACAGTTACATTTTTAAACACCCGATGGCGGATGAACTCATAGTCAAATATTGTCACTCTCTTCTTTGTAGCTTCCTTCAATGCGCTGTAAACAGTAAGAATGGTCTGTCTAAGGATCTTCTGCTTGGGATCAGGATTTCTCCTTTTGCTCTGCGGAGGCTCCATTTTCACCAGTCTCTGCTTTTTCCTCCATCAAATTTTTTGACTCTCGTTTCTTCTGTAGATCTTTCATTTTTTTCTTCCACTGCATCCATCTAAAAGCACACAAGGAAACATGAAAACCACGATTTTGATTCTCTGAAAGGTACCTCTGCATCTACTTCAGTATTCTTTTGCTATGGCTTATGTCAATTTGGTCAATTTCTAGACCATAGCATGATGAATATATAAAAATATAAGTCCCTATGATCAACCTCCCACTCCCAC